AAGAGGCTACATTGGTAAATCCATGTCCTGATTTTCCCTGGAAATCCTGATTTGTTTATGTTTCTCATCCCTTGTCTTACTTGTTGTTCGTTCTGTTTTTTGAATGTTGATTTAACGTCAAATGTTTCGTCAAACCATTTGCCTAAGCACTTTATAGGGTTTCCGATGATAAATGGAATATTCTCCCTCTGGATTGTTAGCTCGAACGTCTAAGTAGCTTTCCCATTCTTTACAATCAAGGATCTTGACCGGTCACAGTAGCTTAGTGGTATAGAGCGTTCGCTTCGCGATCGGAAGTCCGACCTGAGACGTACATATATGCAGTGACTGTTCCTTCGCCAAGCGCTCAGCAGAAGTGAAAGTCACAGGTCATTCAGATATGACCTTAAAAACACAGGTCCCGTGTCACGGAAGGCACTGACACGATAAAGAACCCTCACTGCTCAATGGCTCTGAGTGCCGAGTATAGGTCTAAAGTTGAAGCCCTTCACCGGCATACGGTGACGTCTCTATATGAGTGAAAAATTCTCGGATGGGACGTTAAACAATAAACAATCAATCAATCAATCAAGGATCTTGACTTCGTAGGTATAAAGGTCATTCTTGTCCATGATGTTGTTTTTTTCTAGAGCCTTAAGTATCCATCTTGCTTGGATATGGGTATCTGTTGTTAATGTAAGATCATCCATGAACCCTCTGTTCGGTTTCTGCCTGGTATTGCTTGATGTTTTGGGACCTTTGGTCTCTCTCTCTCTCTCTCTCTCTCTCTCCGGCCTTCATGATCATATTAACACACATTACAAAAAGAATCACTAATATAAAATGGTACGGCATGTCACAATTCCCCTCTGCAGTTTTGCCAAGATGTTATATAGCTGGCCGTTGTGAAGCGTGGATGTATCCCTCTGAAGTAACTTTTGATCATCATCTGAAAGTGTTCTTGTATATATGGTTACTTATGGTAGTGATTAAGAGTCTCCTCTATGTGCGTATGTGGGATCGTTCCGTATGCGTTTGCTAAATCTAACCAAACACCCACGAGATCTTCCTTGCTGAATTTTGCTTCATGGAAAAGTTGTGTTATGATGCTAGTATGTTCAATATACCCAGAAAGCCCAGGTACTCTTCCCCTCCATTCTGCACTGATGTATCCACATACTGATTCTTAGACATGTAAGCTGTCATCCTTCTCCCCAGGACTGAGAAGATTTCCCTTCTTCTTCCAGCCAGCAATGAGATTGTTAGGAACTGATTTATCCCCTCAGAGTTCTCCTCCTTTGGTACAAGGCACTCCTCAGCCTTCTGCCAACAAGATGAAATCTTCCCTTTCCTCCAAACCATTCTTAATAGTTTCCATAGGTGTCTAAGAATCTTTAGATATCTCTTGTAGACTTTATAGGGGATACCGTTTGAGCCTGGTGCTGATGTTCTAGCTTTCTTTATCATACCTTGCACCTCTTTCAATGATGATTCCTTTCAATTCGTTGCCCACGAAGAGCAGTGCTTAGAGCGTCTGCTCTAGAATCGTGAAGGCGAAGTAAGGAGTCGATCATTACGTTGCGGGTTTGAATCCCACTGTGGAACGTGGAGACCGGTCCTTCGGATGAGATCGTAAAAAAAACTCAGGTCCCATGTCGCAGTAGGTGCTGGCACGAAAAAAGATCCCTCACTGCTCAATGGCCCTGAGTGCTGAGTATAGGACAACATTTGCAGCTCTCCACCGGCAAGTGGTGGCGTCTTCATATGAGTGAAATTCTCGAGAGGGACGTTCAAGAACATACAATCAATCAATCCTTTTAATTCATTGTTCTTCTGATTCTGGTACCTCTTCTATTCGAACACATGATCCTAAGCGTTTCCAATGCACTTTTTCACCATGTGTTTCTTCTTAACCTCCTTATTAGAGCTCTTCAGTCCCCCTGACTTTGAACCTCTAATGGTTGATTTTGTAGATCTGTATGGGTCTGGTATAAACTTTATCCTCTTCTTTCCTCTCTTTTGTCTGAATTTCTTCATTCTCTCTGCACTCTGAAGGTTGTTCCTCTTCTCTCTCAGAGTTGCTCTTAGCTCATTGAACACTACTTTTTGATTTTCACTTGCTGTTCTATACTGCTTGGTTATTGTATTGATCTCTGCTCTTAGTTTTTGTATCTTCTTCTGGCATATGTTTGGTTTTCCTTTTGTTTCCTTCCTACGCTTTCTCCCTTTGGTTCTAAAGCATTCAACTCCTACAGTGCGTACTATCGTAGTCAATGATGTTATCTTTCTCTGCACATCACCTACTAGTGTGTTATTTAGGATTTTGTCTAGGTCATTATCAACTGCACCTCAATCTCTTGTCGTTTGTTGATGGCCACTGTGCTGCTGGTTTCCTATTGTCTATAGAAGGTTCTGGGGCTGTCTAGTGTCCGGTTGACTTGTATGGTTCTGGTTTTAATGCTTGCCTGAATAGCATCAGTTGGTAATAGGTCCTCAGTAATGTGGTTTTCATCCGAAATGTGGTCCTTCTTCGTCTGATCAGTATTACCTATGCGTTCTTCCTGTTGCCCCTCAGGTCTACATTTAGCCCATAGCCTATTTTACAACTCTCTCATTTTTTAAGCTTTCCGTATAACGTCTTCTTTCTGTGGGTATTCCTGTCCATGCTTTTGGACTAGCCGAATCGTTGCCCTTGAATTCACGAAACCGGCTCTTTAACCATCCCCTCTCAGAAGACCCTGGTGGTGTTGCTCTTCTGTTTGTGTTGGACCTTGCTGTGGTGTTCCCTCACAGAACTCTGTGTTGGGCTGCCAACCCTTGTCTCCCCTGGATGCCACTTGTTCCTCCAGACATTATTGATCTATTCATGGTTGTCGGCCTGTCTTTCTAGCAGTCATTGGTTGTCCAGTTGAATAAAATACTTATACATAATGCAGCTGCACCATCAAAGTCCAAGGTCATCACTCATTGTGTGTTTTAACTCCTATCTCGGTACAACTCTCAGAATGGGGGTTCACAGTGATGATCAGTCACTGTGCTTTGGTGGTGGGTATCCAGCTACTAGTCTCTTTCTTTACCAAAATCCAGCATGATGATCTTTCTGCTGCTTGGGCCATCTTTTGGACTGCTGTTCTCCTACTTCTCCCTGTCACACCTAACCCTAACCATGAGAACGTCCTCCGAACCGACTGTGCGGGAAGCCTCTACTGGATAGTTCCAGGTCTGCCATCCTTTCTCCCCACATTCTTCTAGCAATGGGTCATATTTTACCTTCTTCCTTCATGAGCTTCTTTGCATCTTTCTTCCTAGGTAATTGTCGGTTTTATTACAATGATCTTCTTTGTACTTGATGTCCACAGTACCATATCAGCCCTTAGATTAGTTGGAATTATCTCTTGGAATGTCAGTTTCTGACCTAGATCTACAGCTAGCATCCAATAGTCTGCCTGGTTAAGTTTTCCAGAGATCTCCTCTCTCTTCTTCGCTGTTTCACCTTTTTTACAAATAAAATCTATGTATGTTTCACTGTTGTATGTTTGCTTTTATTTTTCCGCTCTTTCTATACAGTGTCTGCCATCTCCTTTAGAATCTGATTATGTCGCCACTGGGACCAATGGGGACACTCTGGTCTTGCTATAAGATCCAATCTGTGGAGATTGACTGGTATTTGGTAGCAGATCGTACACTGGGCTTAATAGAAATTGTAGTTGGAACTGCGAGTATTTCCAGAAGTCTGCCCAGAATAATTTCCACTGGTCTATTTCCCATCTCTTTCAAGAACCCTGTACTCCCATCGTGGATCCACTGCCTTACTTGTCGGTTTTCTTCCTATCTGACTCGTTTTTTTCTCAGGTACGCTTTGTTTCTCCTTTGTGTCAGCCTTCTTCCAAATGCTGCTTTTGGATGTCCCTAAACCTTGCCTTCTAATAACCACCGTTTCTACGTTTCAAATGACTTGTGTTTGTTTACTATTCATTGTCTTCATGTTTCATGTATAAAATGGTTTGAATGATTTCTCTTCCGAGTTTTTACGATGGGATTTTTTCTTTTGAGATTTTTCAATAGAACTTAAAGATGATGACTCTAGCTTTCAGAAGGGAAAACTATTATTAGTATATTGAGGCAGGTTTACTTTAAGAATGTCTATAACTGAAGCATGCTAACTGTATGCAATGTGAAAGAGGGAGATTCAGTCCTCAAAAAAGGATGATATGAGCTTGGTGTTTATACTTCAATTTTGAGATATGAATGTTAATTAACATTGCCTCAAATGACCACTGCAGAGAGTGCAATCTAATATCATCTGCAAATCAAGTGGACAAAATCAGTTTATAATTCATGCAAATAATATTTTCATGATCTGATCATAACTGTAGCTTTGGATGGCTGCTTAGTCTCTTGAAGAAAAATTTTTTATGGCATAGCATGGAAGCAAAAATTGTCAGTCATTTCATTGCTAAATAGAGCAAAAGCTTTCCTTATATAGTTCAGTTCTGTTTAATAAAAAGAAACAGGTATGATCAACAATAATGGATTTATTTACAAATATTCTTTCATCGTAATATACAATTAGCACTAAAAATTGTGACAAAGATATGAATCTTTACACATGAAATTAGAAATGATTTGATGAATACATACAAGTTCACATATATCAATAAAAGTTTTTCTTCAAAGAGACACAACAATTACATATTACATTACCATTGGTATCATAAATCTTATTCATTCAGCAATGAGGTACTTGCACCGATTAGATGTGCAGGGTTATATATACAATACTGTACAGTAGTCTTTAAGACACATAGCAAATTTGATAAACATCACATCGGGGGTAGTTTACACTGTATTTAAGAAATTTTTGGCGGTAAAAAAGCTTGAATGGAGATTTTGAAAAATTTATTACACATGTCAAAAATCTGTATATTTTTTTACATTTTCAAATTGATAAAGGTAAGTATTTGGTGAAGAGAATTTTACTTCAGAATTCAGGATCTATGATAGCAAATATTTTTACATGCATGTGTATATGTCTTTTAATATAAATTAAAATTTTTTGTTTAAATCCCTCGATCAAAAGATCCTGGAGTATATTGGTTTTGTCCTGTCTGTTTTTCTATCTGTCTCTTGTCAACTTTAACCTAGCCCATAACTTTTGAGTGGGTGGCTATATGGCTTTCTAATTTCACAGGTGTATTCCTTGTTTTTTATTAATGTTTAAGGTTTGCTAAAATTAATCTTACATTCAAGTAACCTAAGTAACCTAAAAATTTTAAAACCTAGATGGGAGATGGGAAAAAAATTAAACAATCCAAAATTTTAAACAATTAACACATTAACATGAACCAAAATACTATTTATAGTTGTGTGTAGTATATACGCTTATTAATACTGTAGATTCCTTATTTTTGGCGAGTACTTATTATCGCGAATTGTCTCTTCAACGTCAAATCGCAAGAAAAATAATTCGCGAATGGACGTTTGATCAAGAGATTTTATATTTATTACAGCATCATAAAAATAAAAGCGAGAAATTTTATTTCGCATGTGTTGTTTCTCACGAAATTACGCGATAATTAATTCCGCTTGTATAATTGGGAATCTACAGTAAATATTTTAGTAAATCTGTTAGTATAATAAATAGATTCTTCTAAAATATACATTATACAGGGTCCAATATTATTACTATGGAATGTAGGTTTTAGTTGCTTAAAGTAAAATCAAACTGGAAATCGAACATATTATAAAATATTGAGGTTTTTTTTCAAAGTACCAGTAGATTTAACTTTGGACAGCCCAAATAATTTAATTTGTGATTTTAGTAAAGTGCAATATTGTAAATTAATCCATCATACTATAATAACATCATAAATTTGGAAAGTATCTGCATTACACAATGAACCTTGATAAGACACAGGTTTATGGACATACCAGGTATAAACTCTCACTTAAGTTTTGTATGATTTGAAAACTATACACAATCTTAACTGCAATACATTAATCACACTTATATCACAGTTTTAACAATTTACACATACCCCTTTCCTTTGATACAGTCATTCAAAAATATATGTACAATACAACAAAATATAAATTACATGTAGAGAAAAAGCTTCTAATAAATATCTAAATACAACTACAAATATAACATTGGATTAAGAATATAAAATAAAAATTACCAAAAAGCAGAAAAAAGTCTCACCTCTGATAGCTGGAGGTAAAAAGGAAAGTCTGAAAATAAATTCATGCTAATAAAGAATGAAGTAATTCATAAAAAAAATTATTGACAAAGTGGCTTCATATCTTGCCAGAAAAAAATTGAACATATATACACCATTCAGTCTCTGGAAAACTATTTCCATAAAATTGTTTTATGCTTGTTTAGTGTCCATGGCAACACATGTAAATCTGCACCTCCCATATGGAAGAGTCAGAATGGGTAGTTGTGACCATCTGTTGGTTTCCGTATCGTACACCTCAATACTAGAGAAGAAGGAATTCTCCCCGTCGTGTCCACTTAATACATAGATCTTGCTTCCAATGGCAGTCACACCTGTAGGTACAAAACAATTCCATCATGTATGAGGAATTATTGTCTACCAATAACCTCAACAGTTCAAGATATCTGACATTCCAGACCACTGAATTATGATCTCAGAAAACTGAAGGTCCTTTTAAAATTGCATTTTAAAGATAGGTTGAACATCAATGTATTCTTTACCAAAATTTTGGTTTACACTCTTGTAAACAATTTTAAACATACCTGGATCATATCTGACTTCTTTCATCTGAGGCAGCAGGGTCCATGTGTCTCTTTCAATGTTGTAGGACACAAGATCTCTGGAGGCGTAGGAGTTCTCCAGTATTCCTCCCACAGCATACAGCGTCCCCTTCACAGATAACAGACCACTTACCGCTCTGGGAGTAGGCATGTGACACAGCTGCCAAGTAATTAAATATAATTAGATAAAAGGTATCCATACTTTCTTGTTATAAGACCTAAAATACAGTCTTCTATATACATGTATTATTGGTTTATTCTGGATCTCTCAGTGATTAATCATTTTTTATAGTTGATTTCATTATACAGTGTAATTCTTATGAGCTTTCTTGTGTTGCAAAAATAGCAAAAATAGAACTTACTGAAAATATAACTGCATGCAGCTATATGTTTAACAATACATGTACCTAAATGATTACACCACAATGCACAAGATATCTGTTTTATTACCTGCTCCCAGAAATCATGTATGGGATTGTATCTTTGGAAAGTATTCACACAATGATCAGAAGGGTCAGCTTTCCCACCTGCAAGGCCAATACATAACTCTTTGGTTATCTTACTTTTAAAACAAGTTGTGGAAAACATCATTTACATGCATTCTGAGCCTTTCGATTGCAAAGTCTCCATTTAACTCTACATTCTTTCTACAATAAATCTTTTTATGGTGATTTTTCTCATTTTATTGTAATATTTTTTGCTAAGTAAGACTCTGCATACCTGCAGCATACAGACATCCATTGAGAGATGTTGCCATAATTCTGGCCACAGGTGTTGATAATGGTGAGACATATGTCCATCTGTTCGTCTGTGGACAGTATTTCTCCACTGTGCCTAGATTGGAGGTTCCGTCATATCCTCCAATGGCATAAATATAGCCATCCAAGGTGGCCATTCCCAGCTTGGCTCTCGGTGTGTTCATGGAGGCTACCTTAATCCACTTGTCCAGGTATCGCTCATACCTCATCACATTGTTCACCACCACATTCTCTTTGTTGTATCCTCCTACAAATTTAAAAGTAAAAAAAAAATCAAAATTGACATGCACAGTAATAGTTTTCAAAGTTGTATTTTAACATTACTTAACATTTTTCATTCAATTTATTGTAAGTTTTTAAAAAATTACTTGCCATTTACCAGTTTGCCTTCAATTAAATGACAAATGTTAGTGATTTAAATCACCCATTTATTTCCAATATACAATTTCATAATAAATTATCAAATTTTTATTCCTGCAACTAACCAGCTATGTACATATGCATATCCTCAGAAACAACAGCACAGTGATGACAGCGGGAGAAAGGTAAATCCTTTAGCTTGACCCAAGTACCTCCCTCTAGATTGTAACCTTCCACACAGTTCAAATAGTTCTTGTTGTAGATTTCACCCCCAGTAATATAAACCACCGACTCCACAGCCATACACTGTCTGGGTATCATTCTTGGTGACAGCATCTCCATTCTCCTATCCTGTGAAGAAAACCTCATGTTAGTACATATACTTTATACACGTTTATTATGTCCCCATAATTGAAGATACAGGGGTACATTTTTTGCTGTCTGTCTTGCTGTTAGTTTGTCCACAAAAACTTTAACCTTGCCCTTAACTTTTGATTGGTTGGGGCTGTAGCTTTTATACTTGATGAGTATTCCTTGTGGAAAGACATTCCTTTGATTACAAATGTATTAGACCTCTTGAACTTGGATTTTGACCTACTTTTGCAAAACTTTACCTAACTTTAACCTTGCCCATAACTTTTCAACTGTTGGTGCTTGGAATTTCATATTTCTTCGAGACATGACCTTTTCAAGAATATAAGTATTTCTTAACATTTGACCTTGACCTGGAGTTTGATCTTCTTGTGCAAACCTTTAACCTTGGCCTTAATTTTAATTGATACAAAGGCTTTTATATTTTACATGTTTCATTTGACCGGCCTTTCCCTGCATGTCATTAAGTTTTACTTGATTAGCTTGACCTTTTAATTTGACCTGTTTTTAGAAAAAATAACCTTGACCTTAACTTTTTGATTTCTTATGTACTCTGGCTTTCATATTTATCCATTGACACAAGTCCTTTCTTTTGGTAGTAATATTTTGATCTCTTGACCTTGGGAGTTTGACTTGCATTTGGGAAACTTGAACCTTCACCATAAGCTGCCATACAAGGGAAACAATGTTTCAAAAACACATTTTGCTTCATTTAAATATCTGAAATTATTCTAATCTTTTACATATCAACAAATGCATTATCAATTTTAAGAAACCATCAACTAATCAAAGCATCTTAATTCTTACTATGAAACATTACAAAATTTTTAACTTAATTCTTATTTAGAGAACAATGAATGATTACCCCTGTAATCCATCAAAATTTGAACCCCAAACACTTGATATGTTTTATGTCTGTTTCTTAAATTAAAATTACAAATTCTAGTTTATGTAATACCAGTTTTGAGCACTACATGAAACACTTTGATTAATGTGCATGTGACAATTATGATGTTTATCCAGGCACATGGAGGTTTGTGCAACTGACACTGGAGAGACCAAAGATCCCAATCTGGACATGGTTGTCAGGCAGTGGAGAACAATTCAGTCGTAATGGAGCCCCATCTTATCTCCCTATGAGTTACATCATTTTTCATCATTACAGATAAACATGAAGTAATTTATTTTTTCTGAAGTGTGACTAAAAATTTGGCATAGTCAGAAAAGATTTCTGGTATTTAATTATAATTTGTGAATCATTCCAGCCTTAGATGAGGCATGGGTTTACCATGCTTCAATGTTCCATAGTTGAATTAGTACACATTATTCCATTCAAACGTTAAAAAAAATATTGAATTTTTTTAAAATAAAGATTTTGAACCTTGAGGATGTGGTATTTCATAGCCTCATCCAGGAAGGGCCTGCAGCCTGGTGCTGACATTAGAAGATGCTCGGAGTCCACTTTGTCAAACAGATAGTAGGGACTGACAAGTGGCAGACGGACATACTGCAGCACATCTGCTAGCTGGGGAATCCTGTGCTTGGGGTCGTGTTTCACCCATCTCAGAATAGCATCAAACACAACTTCCTCTGAACCAACATTCAAGTCATTCTGACTTATAAATTCAATGAGTTTTTCTTTTGGAAGCAACAGAATCTCTTCTTGTTTGGCGACTTGTGTGAAGTGTTGAATGACATACTGTCTGGCCTTTTCACTCAGTTCATCACAGACATGTGCCTCTGCAAAGCAGTGGATGCCCAAACAGTTGCTAGGGTCCATTTCTCCTTCCAGAAAGTTACAACAGGCTTGTATGATAGTATGGATTTGGACCAGGTTGGCTGCAGACAGAAGCTGTTGGGCATTCTCCTGTGTAATTGAAATGTCTGCTGTATAGGCAAAGTCCACCAGTTGTTTCATTATGTCTGGGGACATGCCATCTATTTTAATCTCTTTCTCTCTACTTTCTTTCATTTCTCCTACAAATGAACATTGCATTGATAATTCCAGAATTATCTGTTAAACTTAATATCTCTATTAAATTTCTTGCAAGGGTAAACCTACAACTTGCAAAAATGTAGTCTACATGCATTGCAAAATTTGCAAAATTCATAAATACATGTATAAGAAAATATATCTAACAAATACAGAATTCATTTCATAACTGGTGTGTACACCATTTTTCAGCTGCATATTTACTTGCTTAATTGGTGTATGCTCAAATGTTCTACACATATTTTAAAAATTCATGCTAAAACACACTCTGACAATGTCACAACCTGTGAGGGATAAGCTATTCTAAATAAACCTTGCTTTAAAAGTATTCATGCTTTGGGTAAAAAAAAAATTATTTTAATCATGCACTTTATGTGAAATGAGCAAAGAGAGATAACTCTGTCAGGTGAAACTATTTGAGGAGTACAAGATTTGTGCATCAAACTATTCATGCAGTTATGGAAGATAATTAAATTTCATGTAACTAGGCAGGACAAAATTAACCAGTTGCTAATGAACTAAAAGTATAGCTTGCTGCATGTATTGTACACTTTGTTAAAAGATCACCTGTAAACATAGCCAAAAAATATGGACTGCAAGCAGCCAAAATATTCCGGTGGCACGGAAATTTTTCTCCCTCCACACAGATTATGACATCACAAAGCGTGTTTGATTTCCTCTGTTCATTGAGGCCATGTAATACAGTCAGAGCATGTGATTGTTCTCGAAAAACATACTCACTTAAGAATTTGCCATCTGTTCTACGAAATAAGCCTACAAAAGAAAAAGAAAAATATTACAGTCTAAAATTGTCGGTATGTAAATATGTATAATATACAATAATCATGATTAATTACACTGCTTACAAAATATTTCATACAAGAATTCTTCTATGATTAAAACAATTTAAGCAGAAATAGATTTAGAGGGAAACTGGAGTAAAAAGTAAACATATATACTGAGCAAATGAAAGGAATATATATTTGAACAAAGAACTATAGGTTCATTTTATGCATAAAATGGCCTTGTCCTAATATCAATTAATCAACTATCACCCCCTTTCCCATTTCATATATCAAAATAAAGTAGAGAGTTTTTCATTTTCTTCAACAAAAATTCTTTTTGAAAATCCAGATATTGGAAAACAGGCTTTGAGAAAATGCAATGTTCTTGAATTTTGCAGAAACATGCATGTTTGACAACCTTTGGCAAAGAATTAAAATATGAGCACAGCCCTTGATTCAAAAATCAAAAGATGTTTTTTGATCTTTAGAAACAGATCTTTCATTATGTAATTGCATATTTTGGATCAGAAGTTGTGCTCTATATGAAATATTGAAATACTTCAATTTTAGGCCATTTTCAAAGGAATTTACAGGATTATTTGAAGAATGACATCATAAATGATGTCATAATGCATTGACTAAAGGGAAAATTATGTCATGTTCAATAGATACATGGTCACCAACAGTCCAAGTGATAAATACTGCATTGTCGACCTAAAATGAGCAGTTTTGATTTTTCAAAAATTATCAGGGCCAAAAAAGGCCCTAAGAGCTCTTGCTCTTTGAATACTCCTGACCAGTGGCCAATCAGCTGTGTGTGGAGCTAACATAAACTAGTTTAAGAATGCAGCTTTCACCTGAGTTAGCAGTTAACAAATTTAAATTTGTTGTTTAATGTCCCTTTTAAAAATATAAAAGTATAGGCAATTTTAGGCTTCTCAATACTTCGCACTTAGAAGACCTACCTTTGAGCAGTCTTATTCCCCAATGGGATTCAAACCCACATACCATGTAAAGAAATATGTAAACTCTAGACTCTGAACAAGCAGTGTTTTAATTTCATGTTATTTTTGTAACTTCATATGTTTAACAACCAGAAGTCTCTGTCGAGACTGTAGCTCTACTGGTTTGTACTTATAACAAAGGATGAGAAAAGAAGCCATTGCCATCAGACCAAAACTGTAGGAGGAGTAGCGTTTTAAAGGAATTTCACAGAAATTTCTATTTTTAGTAACCATGGCAACACCGTTCATCGAAATCAAAAACCGATGCAATATTTTATGTATCTTAGTGTAGTCTACTTGTGTGCCAATTTATATTGAAATCAAACCAAAACTGTAGGAGGAGTAGCGTTTTAAAGGAATTTCACAGGAATTTCTATTTTTAGTAACCATGGCAACACTGTTCATCAAAATCAAAAACTGATGCTCTGTTTTATGAATCTTAGTGTAGTCTACTTGTGTGCCAAGTTATATTGAAATCAGACCAAAACCGTAGGAGGAGTAGCGTTTTAAAGAAATTTTACAGGAATTTCTATTTTTAGTAACCATGGCAACACCGTTCATTGAAATCAAAAACCGATGCACTATTTTATGTATCTTAGTGTAGTCTACTTGTGTGCCAAGTTATATTGAAATCAGACCAAAACTGTAGGAGGAGTAGCTTTTTAAAGGAATTTCACAGAAATTTCTATTTTTAGTAACCATGGCAACACCGTTCATCGAAATCAAACATAGGTAATCAGAGATTACAGAGCTCACCTCAACGAATGTTGTCTTTAAGTAAGGCAAAGTCACACAATTAACCAACAAAAAGTGTACATTCAAAAAATGAAAATATTTAAGCAATTTTGATCTGTTACTTTGAAATAGACCTACATAAACCAGAAGTCTCTGTCGAGACTGAAGCTCTACTGGTTTGAACTTATAGCAAAGGAAGAGAAGAGTACTTAAGCAGCTGGGATTTGAAACTTTACAACAGCAATATATAGAATAATGATCGTTGATAAAGTCTATTTATGTTCTTAGTGTAGTCTACTTGTGTGCCAAGTTATATTGAAATCAGACCAAAACTGTAGGAGGAGTAGCATTTTGAAACAATTTTACAGACATTTCAATTTTTAGTAACCACGGCAACACAGTTCATCAAAATTAAAATTTGATACACAGAATTATGTATCTTAGTGTATTCTACTTGTGTGCCAAGTTATATTGAAATCAGACCAAAACTGAAGGAGGAGTAGCATTTTGAAACAATTTTACAGATATTTCTATTTTTAGTAACCACGGCAACACTGTTCATCTAAATCAAAAACCGATACACAGATTTATGTATCTTAGTGTATTCTACTTGTGTGCCAAATTATACTGAAATCAGACCAAAACTGTAGGAGGAGTAGCATTTTGAAAGAATTTCACAGAAATTTCTATTTTTAGTAACCACGGCAACACCGTTCATCGAAATCAAAAACCGATACACAGAATTATGTATCTTAGTGTATTCTACTTATGTGCCAAGTTATACTGAAATCAGACCAAAACTGTAGGAGGAATAGCATTTTGAAAGAATTTCACAGAAATTTCTATTTTTAGTAACCACGGCAACACCGTTCATCGAAATCAAAAACTGATACACAGAATTATATATCTTAGTGTATTCTACTTGTGTGCCAAGTTATACTGAAATCAGACCAAAACTGTAGGAGGAGTAGCATTTTGAAACAATTTCACAGAAATTTCTATTTTTAGTAACCACGGCAACATCGTTCAACGAAATCAAAAACCGATATACAGAATTATGTATCTTAGTGTAGTCTACATGTGTGCCAAGTTATACTGAAATCAGACTAAAACTGTAGGAGGAGTAGCATTTTGAAAGAATTTCACAGAAATTTCTATTTTTAGTAACCACGGCAACACCGTTCATCGAAATCAAAAACCGATATACAGAATTATGTATCTTAGTGTAGTCTACTTGTGTGCCAAGTTATATTGAAATTAGACCAAAACTGTAGGAGGAGTAGCATTTTGAAAAATTGTTTACAGACAGACGGACAGACGGACAACAGACAGACGGACGGATGATGAGTTGACGCCGGACAATTACTATCGCATAAGCTATATTCAAGGTCTCTGACCAGTAGAGCTAAAAATTTAAACTAGTTCTTCTTCATGAAAATGTAATCAAAATCCAGCATCTGAAACAAATTTGAGAGTTTTCATCTCTTGATGCAACATTTGTGCAAGTTTGGTTTAAACAATGTTATACAAGCCTTATAGTTTTTTGGTAATAGACCTGCACCCATAACTTTTGCCTGGTCTATTATCTGAAAAATGTATGTCGAATTCAGCATGTGAAGCAAGTCCATTAGTGTGCATCCTAAGATGTATCGTCCATGCAAGTTTGGTCAATATAGAGCTTATAGTTACTTGGAAATGAAACCTACACCAAAAACTTTAACCTGTTCACTCAACCGGAAAATGATGGTAAGATTCAGCATCCGAAGCAAGACTGGTAGTATGCATCCTTAGATGTATCATCCTTGCAAGTTTGGTCAACATAGGGCTTATAGTTACTTGGAAATGAATCACTCACGAAAAACTTTAACCTATTCACTCAACCAGAAAATGTAGGTCAGATTCAGCATCCGAAGCAAGCCTGGTAGTATGCATCCTTAGATGAATCATTCATGCAAGTTTGGTCAATATAGAGCTTATAGTTACTTGGAAATGAAACCTGCACCAAAAACTTTAACCTGTTCACTCAGCCGGAAAATGATGGTCAGATTCAGCATCCGAAGCAAGCCTGGTAGTATGCATCCTTCGATGTATCATCCATTCAAGTTTGGTCAATATAGAGCTTATAGTTACTTGGAAATGAAACCTACACCAAAAACTTTAACCTGTTCACTCAACCGAAAAATGATGGTCAGATTCAGCATCCGAAGCAAGCCTGGTAGTATGCATCCTTAAATGTATCATCCTTGCAAGTTTGGTTAACATAAGGCTTATAGTTACTTGGAAATGAAACTGCACCAAAAACTTTAACCTGTTCACTCAACCGGAAAATGTAGGTCAGATTCAGCATCCGAAGCAAGCCTGGTAGTATGCATCCTTAGATGTATCATCCTTGCAAGTTTGGTCAACATAAGGCTTATAGTTACTTGGAAATGAAACCTGCACCAAAAACTTTAACCTGTTCACTCAACCGGAAAATGTAGGTCAGATTCAGCATCCGAAGCAAGCCCGGTAGTATGCATCCTTAGATGTACCATCCATGCAAGTTTGGTCAACAGAGGGCTTATAGTTACTTGGAAATGAAACCTACACCAAAAACTGCACCAAAAATGTTAACCTGCTCCAAAAACATTAACCTGGTCATTCCTTTGCTGAAATTGCAGCATCTGAAACTTTGACTGGTACAATGAAACACACTAGAAGCATCTTCCATGCATGTCTAATCAATATAGGACATAGAAGTACTTAAAAAGAAAACTGCTCCAAAAAACTTAACCTGGGACGCCAACGCTGTGTGTGGAGCACATAAACTACGCCGACGCCGAGGGTATTACAAAGCTCCCCCAACTTCGTTGAGGTGAGCTAAAAACCGATGCACTAGTTTCTGTATCTTAGTGTAGTATACTTGTGTGCCAAGTTATATTGAAATCAGACCAAAACTGTAGGAGGAGTAGCATTTTGAAAAATTGTTTACAGACAGACGGACAGCTAGACAGACAGACGGACGGACGACGGACACCTTACTATCGCATAAGCTCTTCTGGTCTCTGACCAGTAGAGCTAAAAAATGAAATAGTTTAGGCTTTTCTTTGTTTTTTTTGAAATGGAAGAGGGCTGTGTGAACTTTTCTTTTTATTTCATAGTTTTATTAATTTACTTTTAGTCTGCACAATTAGGTTTCTTAATTACTATAACTTCAGAAAAGTTAAATTATCTCATCCAAACAGGAAAAAAAAAAAACATGAAACTTAATTGATTGACATCTGACATAAAGCTCAATTCAAAATGAATATGATATATTTTTCCTGTCTGGTTCAAAAGTTTTGAAAAGTGTTTAAGATATGGACAAACAAATAAAAGGAATCTCCAAAATTATGGAATTCGATCATTTCATTCTTGTTTAGGAGGCAACAAAAATGGAAGTTGTTTGCCCAGATGGCTCAAGAATTTTATTTTTTCCCTTGATGATTGTATAACTTTCTGGGAAGCCTATTTGAATTGTTTTACGTAATCCCTGCTTCACCTGGCAGACTTTCAAGCAGGGCCAGTGCGTCTTCCGAAAGGCTGCATGATTTTGTGTGCACCAGAGACACTCCTCCCCCATTACTCATGTCTAAAAATAGACCTGTCTGGAAGAAAAGAAAACAACATTTGTTTATTCCACATACTCCGTGTTCCAAGTTACAACATTAAAATATCTAATCTGTTGAATCAGATATCTCCTATTTATGTGCACAACAAAATTTTAGTATGCACTTTTAGACACGTATTTTAAAAGATCATTTAAATATATAGCAGACTTAATTATTGAAAGATCAGAGGTAATTAACCGCAAGACTCCTTTGATCTAAAATTATAAAATAGCTCACTTCAAAAAGTCAAGCATACATGTATATCCCATCAGGTTTCTATGAAAATATAGCTGTAAATTAATTTTTAAAAGTACTTTTTCATAAAATATTTTATTCTGGTATTCATTTTTTTTTTATTCTTCTTCATTGCTTATACAAATTTACCATGATCTTAATTCAATTTTCACAAGCTTATCAGTGAATTAAGTCCGAGACTCAGGTATGCTTTTGAGTCAAAACATCTTTTGTTTTGGTTTTATTTATAGAAACGTTGTGCCAATGCACTGACATTTTGTTTATAAGCATTGAGGAGATACAGCTCTGCCCTTGTCTGAAATTTTTACCCAAGGCTGTAAAATTCTTTTAAAACATTTTCTTTGGGGGTGGTATTATTTGCTCTTTGTTTATTAGCATTTAGTGTTCTTGCTGTTCATAGAGGAAAAGAAGGGAAAATAATCCTTCTGAAAAACATTTCTGGTGTGGTATTGCCAAGAATTTTCAACAGGGTTTATAAAGTTCATTAGAGCATTAATGAAAATCATAAATAATGAGCTCAGTTTTGAAACAAAATGCAATTTTTTTTTAAACAAAGAATTATGTTCATGATTTCTCACAATAAATTAATCCCTTTAAATTCCACACATATATGAATATCATGACCTGCATAGCTGCACAGACAACAGTTCAAAGAACTTCCATTTTTTTAAATTGCATTTTCCAACATTGCAGATATTCAATGTATAATTATAGGTATATCATTTTCACAATGAAATATATTATGTGCATGTACTGTCAGTGTATCAATTTCAGTAACTAAAAAACCTATGCATGCAAGTTTGAGCTCAGAGTAAATAAAATTCCCTTATCTCAAACTTAATGATTTGACAACACTGAATAAATTCTCCTATATAAACACAAGAACTATTGACAGATTTAGCAAGTGTTTGAGAGCTTTTCATTCCTATATGGTGTAAATAATTTGATTAAGCAGTGATATTTGATTCAATATTAGCCAAGATGGGAATAGAAAAAATGGATTCCAAGCTAAATACCCATGTAAAATATGTAAGTAGAGTTTACCTACTATGCATTCAAGTTGTACATCTATTATGATATGTTGAGAAGGTACGTGTAATTTAATTATTCAGGAATGGTTATATTAAGAAAATGTATCAACACTCTGTGCATGACATGACATATATAATTTACTGAATCAAAATTGTGTGGCATACATTACTTAATTGTTATATCTGAATATGAGACACCTCAAATTTTAAGATACAAAGTTCATATCACAATTATACAGATACATGTATGATTTTTATGTAAGGATACAATCAGGATAATGCAAAAAGTAATTTTTCAAAACTTAAGTTTGGAAATAATGTGCAAGTTACCCTACCCAGATATACTAATTGACACACGGACTTGATACACATTGATACCTGAATATTTACATTTCCAATGTCTTTGTCCGAGATAAAATTACCAATTGTAAATGTAATTGATTTCCTCATGAATGTTTTGGCGCGGTTCCAAAAAAAACCACGTGCAGGGCGGGATAACACCTAGAGAGAAGCAGGCTTGGAGCCCGTGGATTGGCGGAATCAAAGCATGTAAATATAAGGAATAACTGTCAGATTTTTCAAATTTATGAAGATGATCAATGGATTGGCTTGTGTGATAATTTTATGCATAAACGCCTTCGGCGTTTATGCAAATTATCACACAAGCCAATCCATTGATCACTTCATGAATTCGAAAAATAAGACAGTTATTCCTTAAGTAATCACGACATTCGCACAAACATGGAGAAAAAAAATTGTATCTCCGTACAGTTGCATTGAAAATTATTTTCAAAAAAAAAATAAATAATGCTACATTCAGTTTATGAAAAAATGTAAATGAGAGGAAAAAATGTCAATTTGACTTAAATTAATTCATTGACAGGCAAATCAGGTTTCAGGGTCAAAATTTTTTTTTCTCACTTATCAAACCTGTAGAGCTTAAAGGGGTATGAAAAAGAACATGAAAAGGTTTTGTGTGTTGTTAAATATGCTGTCATTTCACCTCTAAGAAATAAATGCAGCAAAGATAAACTTGTAATTGTTTCTTATCAGAATAAATGCTTGGGACTGATAACTTTTCTTCTATTCTACACATGCAATCAAGAATATCACAGTCTTTACAATGGTTGCTATGGCAGAGAGCAAAATCTACATATTCTTAGTCCATGATGATATACATTCTGTAAAATGGAAGAATTAATGTATATCTTATTAAAATAGCTTAGAACTTTCAAAATGGGTAACTGTATTTATCACAATAATAAGGTAAGGAACCTATAATTACTCCATCTTTCATACTGTATGGAAAAAATTAACTACTTGCACAGTCAAACATACAAAAGAACATTACAGTGTATACGGTAAATATTACATGAACATGTACATGTACATGTGTATTTACAATTTGTTAAATTGACCTTTCAATTTTGTGTGAATCATACAGTATCTAACAACAAAAACAAAACTGGATGAATTGCTAGGTTGCACAAAGTCTATTATACTTTTAAGGACATGCGTGCATGAAGAGAACCTACATAATTAGAACCTCGATAGTTTTGGCCTAAACAATGAAATGTTTCTTCATTTTTTCTTCAAAGACATGGCGTTCACCTTCATTTAAGAGTCAAAACATGCTTTGAAAGAATTACAATAGGTGTGATCTGTTTATTAAGAAGGCGAATTGTGTTCTTAAAATATGTTACATAATCTGAAAACTTGGCAACCACAACGAAAATCAAAGAAACAGAAAAGCTATTCCATTACATACAATGTACCTGAATTTTACCACATTTAACTTTGTCTAGGTAAATCAGTCAAGTTTTTGAGTATCTCTCCAGCACATTTCTACAAAATGTTTCTCTTAACACGCATAAAAATTTTACTCACAATAAATTTTCATATCTTTTTATTGACTTACATGTAGCTGTAAATGTTCATCTAAAAGAAGAGATTAATTTAAATTACTCCATTATAGTTCATTTGTATCAAGAAAACACTTCATAAAGAAAATGTATGTTAAATGTCTCTATGTTTTAGGATACAATTTTTCTCTCCTTTTGTCCTTTCTTTTTTTTAAGTCATCTTCTATTGCATCATGAGCTTCCTCTTTTAAATTGTGTATCACTTACCTGTCTGTTAATTAAGCAGAACCTTAAATACCAGCCTATGTTTGAAGGGTTTGCATGGAAATCCAAACATTTGTGAATTGACCCTACATTAGGGTGCATCCCTTAAGATGCATCGTCCATGCAAGTTTGGTCAAGGTACGGCTTGAAGTCACACTGCTCCAAAAACTTGAACCTGGTCACTGATCTGGAAAATAGTTAAGTCAAATCTAGCATCCAAAGCAACTCTGGTAGTGTGAATCCTTTGGTGCATCATCCATGAAAGTTTGGTTCAAATACTAAAATGTATTATATTTAGCACGTACAATATTTGGAGGATATTGGATTTTGAACAAGTTAGCGTGGATTTGATTTAGCGCATATCTTAATGTTCTTCTTTATAGGTATATGTGTGAGACATTTAGCATTGTACTTGAATTAGTAGAAACTGCTTTCCGCCAAAAGCGCTAAAAAGAATACACAGCCAAATGTAATACGTTTACACTATACATAAAAAAGTCTTATAGTTTCTTGGTTATGGATCTTCTCCAAAAACTTAAAACCTGGTTACTGGTCTGGAAAATAAAGGTAAAATCTAGCATCCAAGCAAGTTTGGTTCAACAAAAGTCTATGAGCCAATGCTCACTAATAGTAATACCTCTATTTTGATGAGAATAGTATGCATTTTGATGTGAATGTACACATGTTCAGTTATGGACCAATACTGCGACAAACAGGAAGTTGACATCGGATTCAAACAAAAATGAATTGGACCATACATGTATAAATTGGCATGCCTCAACAAAGGGTGTCCTAAAATTTCAAGCATCTGCAATATGAGTAGTAGCTGAGAAAACCATGACAAAAAATTGTTATGTATGGTATGGACAAATGCAAAGATAACCTGGAAGCTGACATCGGATTTGTATAACCAGAAGTCTCTGTTGAGACTGAAGCTCTACTGGTTTGTACTTATAGCAAAGGAAGAGAAAAGTACTTAAGCAGTTAGAAATTGAAACTTTTCAACAGCAATAAATAGAATAATGATCCTTAATTAAGTCTCTTTATGTTCTTAGTGTAGTCTACTTGCATGCCACATTATATTATAACCAGACTAAAACTGTTATTTGGAGTAGCATTTTGAGAGTATTTAACAGAAATTTCTATTTTTAGTAACCACGGCAAACACCGTTCATCAAAATCAAAAACCGATATACAGAATTATGTATCTTAGTGTAGTCTACTTGTGTGCCAAGTTATATTGAAATCAGACCAAAACTGTAGGAGGAGTAGCATTTTGAGAGTATTTAACAGAAATTTCTATTTTTAGTAACCACGGCAACACCGTTCATTGAAATCAAAAACCGATACACAGAATTATGTATCTTAGTGTAGTCTACATGTGTGCCAAGTTATATTGAAATCAGACCAAAACTGTAGGAGGTGTAGCATTTTGAAAGAATTTCAAAGAAATTTCTACTTTTAGTAACCACGGCAACACCGTTCATCAAAATCAAAAACCGATACACAGAATTATGTATCTTAGTGTAGTCTACTTGTGTGCCAAGTTATATTGAAATCAGACCAAAACTGTAGGAGGAGTAGCATTTTGAAAGAATTTCACAGAAATTTCTATTTTTAGTAACCACGGCAACACCGTTCATTGAAATCAAAAACCGATACACAGAATTATGTATCTTAGTGTAGTCTACTTGTGTGCCAAGTTATATTGAAATCAGACCAAAACTGTAGGAGGAGTAGCATTTTGAAAGAATTTCACAGAAATTTCTATTTTTAGTAACCACGGCAACACCGTTCATCAAAATCAAAAACCGATACACAGAATTATGTATCTTAGTGTAGTCTACTTGTGTGCCAAGTTATATTGAAATCAGACCAAAACTGTAGGAGGAGTAGCATTTTGAAAGAATTTCACAAAAATTTCTATTTTTAGTAACCACGGCAACACCGTTCATTGAAATCAAAAACCGATACACAGAATTATGTATCTTAGTGTAGTCTACTTGTGTGCCAAGTTATACTGAAATCAGACCAAAACTGTAGGAGGAGTAGCATTTTGAAAGAATTTCACAGAAATTTCTATTTTTAGTAACCACGGCAACACCGTTCATCGAAATCAAAAACCGATACACAGAATTATGTATCTTAGTGTAGTCTACTTGTGTGCCAAGTTACATTGAAATCAGACCAAAACTGTAGGAGGAGTAGCATTTTGAAAGAATTTCAAAGAAATTTCTATTTTTAGTAACCACGGCAACACCGTTCATCGAAATCAAAAACCGATATACAGAATTATGTATCTTAGTGTAGTCTACTTGTGTGCCAAGTTATATTGAAATCAGACCAAAACTGTAGGAGGAGTAGCATTTTGAAAAATTGTTTACAGACAGACAGACGGACAGACAGACAGACAAAAAACAGACAGACGGACGGACGAAACGCAAAGATTACCATCGCATAAGCTCTTCTGGTCTCTGACCAGTAGATAAAAATTACCAAATGGCATTCCTCAACAAAGTGTGTTCTAATATTTCAAGCAACTGCAATAAGCAGTTGTTGATACAACTGTGATTTGTTCCAGACAGACACACACACAAACAAACAGGCATACAAGGGTAAAGCAGTATATCCCCTTCTCCTTCTAAGGGAGGGGGGTTATCAATAAAACAGCTAGCACACCCTGGCCCTCTCCTTCAGAGTGAAAGTATAAATATAGGCACTTTATACATGTAGTTTTTTGGTTATGCATCTCTCAATAAACCTTAATTAACTTGGTCACTAGAACATGTAGAATCTGGAAAATGTAGCCTAAGGTCAAAATCTGCATCTGAAGCAAGTCCAATAGTGTGTATCCTTAGATGTTTCATCCATGGATCTTGAAATTTTCTTTCAACTTAAGATGTTGGCTCCATACCAAGTTTGGTTAAAATTGGCTCTGTTTCAGAGCAGAATTTTTCAAAAGGTAATGAAAGAGGAAAAGTCAAGAATAATGAACAGAATTAACAGATAGCATATCTTAGTAAACAGTTAAAGTATATAATTGAGGGAGTTAGCAAGATTCCAGTTCCCCAAGACTAGGACTATTGCGCGGAGGGAAATAGTTCTGGTCAAGGGGAACTGGAATCTTGCTAACTCCCTCAATTATATACATGTACTTTTTAACTGTTTTATTATGCCAATACAAATAGAGGATACGAATGGTGGGGAATTAGCTTCAAAACTGATGCACAGGGAATTAGTTCATTAACATATTAGACCAATACAAAAGTAAAATCTAGAGGATTACGGATAACCGGGAAATTAGCTTCCGAAGCAGGGATTTGCTCATTTAACTAATGCACGGGGAATTAGTCCATTCAATGAGATTTCTAGGGAATTATTCACACTTTACTGCCTTACTTTTATATAAGAAAAAATTCAGTAGAGGTATAATAAATCAGATATATAAATACAGGTCACTGAATGTAAATCTAATGTCCTAAACATTGGCCTTATTGCAATTCAAATAAAAATATTTTGTGGAATATGAATCACAGAGAAATTCAACTGTCAGTAACACATTTTGTAATTGCATGTGCTTCAAGATTAATGTAAACATTAAACCCTAACCCTACTGTATATTAAGTGTTTGTTCCCTAGCCAGTTGACCATAGTGCACCGGTCAATCACTCTTGGCACACAAACTGTGGAGGCTCAGGTATCCATTATGAGAAACATGCATCTCAGATTTATGGTTGTAGCATTTGTGGTAAGTTAACCAACTTAATATATACATATTTTTCTGAAATAATCTAAAACTTGAACAATTGCTTGCATTTTCTGCATCTATATTCAACTAAATGCACATATGTTGATTTGATTGTAGAGTACATGTACTAGATTCGATCTTAAGACTTTTAAAACACAGAATACTAAAAAAGAATGCATGCATATGTGTTGTAAATTTTTGCTTTAAAAAATCTAATATGTATTTTTGTAATTTTAATTGGTGTAAGACAATAAGTTAAAATTATTTTTCAATTTTTATTATTTGTACCAATATACCTTCCTAACAGGTGATTTTATAGAAATGTATAAAAATCTGTACTGATGAATGTCATTGGCAGATATCTCAAGCTACCTGTTTTCTTGTCTGGCCCATATTTGAGGGGCCTCAGTTTACACACTCGGTGCAGTCGGAGGTAATTAAATAATCTTCAAAGACACCATATCTTAATAGTAGATATAGGCACAGCTGAGTAGTCAATATACTCTGTTTATCTGCACGAGGAAATCTTCTGGATGGCACATGTTCATTTTAAAACAATGCACAATAACTTTTCTGCAGCTGCACAGTGAAGTTGGTGCAGTTTTCTTCTAAATCTTAGCTTTGTCATGGGGAGACTTCAGTCTTGGCAAGCAATAACAAACACTGGATTGAATGAACATGTACCAGTTATCTTTCCTCTCTTTACAAAAAATATATTTACAAAGAAAACACTTAGATTTGTAAGAGAATGAGTGTTTTCCATGTTGCCCTTCAAAGAACATCAATTCCATCCTCTCTCGACAAGCATTCCTTTCCTGAAATCCTTTCAATCATTTCAGTAAAACTCATTTTATTTAGTACAAACAAAAATACTTATGTTTCATTCACCTAGGCATAATAATTGGCTAGGAAAAAGCAGAAGTCAGTTAAAAAATAAAACATAAAAAGAGGTTATATACCCAAAAGCCAAATATGCTTCTGAATCAATAACACTATATAATCATGGCTTCTGCTGTTCTTGAAAAGTTTTTAGTTTTTCCTTTATATTCCTATGTGAAACATTGATCTGGTATTGTGTCCGCTCTCTACTTTTAAAGAGGAGGGTCACGATCTGAACAAATTTGAAACTACATCACCTATTCATGATGCTTTAAATTCACATTTTCTGGCCCAGTGAATCTTGAGAAGATTTTTAAAAGGATGGCACTACTTTTTCACAAATACACAATTATTTCCATGGAGAAGAAGGTTATGGTCCTCATTTGAGCAAATTTTAATTCCCCCTTCCAAGAATACTTTTAGGCAAGATTGGTTGAACTTGCTAGATATTCTCGAGAAGTCAAAAATGTGACAAAATTTACATTCAGAGAGATGAATCGATAGACATGCAGACAGACGGATACAAAAATTGTGATCAGAAATGCTCATTTTAAACCTTTGATTCTGGTGAGCTAAAGAAGTTCATAAAGAAAGCTTTGAACAGATGGATTTGGTCATAGTACAGCAGAGTGAAACACATTTCATTTCAATTTCAAAAGTCAAGCTCTTTAAAAAAAATTACATGGGATTGAATTATCAATCTACTGGGAAATGTAAAGTGAGAGGACATTGGTTATGTTTACTGCATTTAAAAAAATATATAACTTAAAATGATTAAGAAAATAGATGTAAATGCAAATATATTATGATTTATAATATTAAGTTCAAACTTCAAGGCCAACTTGAATGATGATGCTGATTTATCTGTGAGTAAGCATTGATAATAGATTGATATTTAGAATAGGTTACTCATGAGGAGGGAAATGCATTAGATTATCAAAATCATTGATGCAAACAAAGAATACATAATCTTCTTAGTTCAATTACCCCCCCTTTCCTTTTTTCCTCCTTCTTTTTCTTCCTCCTGCCACCCTCCCTTTTTTCTTATCTTTTCTTGAGTTCCTCTCCTCTCCCCAAAATCCCTCCCATTATTCTCCCATTATTCTCCCACTTACTCCCCACCCCCCAGCACCCACACTCTCTTCAACACAAAACAAGTTAAACTGCAATTAAAAAAAAATTCACTATATTCACAGAAGTGAGATTTTTGTTCAAAATTTAGATCCTCCTGATTAAAAGACTTAGCTGGAAAAAATAATTACAACAGATTCTACAGAAAAACTGAAAAAAAAATCCAATAAGAATCTTCTTTTCCAGAAATATCTCTGAAGTGTTCTTTTTTTCTTATATGTACATGTCTAGAACATTCATGGAAAATTATGAATTTTCCAGAAAAATGCATATACATTGCAAAGTTTTAGCAAAGCTATAAATATAGCAGATAAAAGTTCATGCAGCTGTAAATAGAGTTCTGTAGAATTATAGTAAGTGTCCAAGACTAAGGCAAAGGTAGCTAAATGCATTAACTTTTGGCTCAACCTGTTGCTATGATTCAAAATCCCTTATCTATGAATTATCTTCTTTACAAGTATCTACAGATAGACAAAATGATTCATCTTATGTCAAATTACAAACCACAAACTGATTCTATGTAAATCAACTTTGTGGTGTCAGTATTCCTGATAAAAAGCTGAAATTTTTCTTTGTCTTAAAAGGCAATTAGCTAAAAATTGACAATGGCCTATATTTAGATATCCTTTCCTATATAAATTGCATCTATACAGAACATGCACCATATAATATAAAGTTTGCTCAATTGCATCCAATAACTTTTTTTTCTAAAAATTAATATACCTTAATAAACTTGAATTTTTATATATATACATTATTCCTCTATTTCTCACCCTGTGCTTATAAAATTCGCATAAAATTTGATTTTAATAAAAGTTCAAGAAATATTTTCTTTTTGTAAAATATATTGCTGTATTTCAACTATGACAATATACTTTAATTTAATTGTGATTAAATCATAAGTTTCCTGGAATGTTCTTTGTTTTCAAACAAGGTCTCAAAAAGTTGAACAAGCCTAAAATTTCTTTTAAAATGCTAATATTGAAAATATAGAGCTTTAAACTTACAATTCCTACATATATTTTACAATATAAGCTCATTTACCTTTATTCAGAATTGATTTCTCCAAAGCTCTGACTTCCTTCAAGAACAAAGAAACCCATGAAATATTTGTAGCACGCAGAAAAAGTCACATGGTAAATGTAAACAATTTCATCTTCTCTGTTTTGAAATATGATACCTGCTTCAGCCAATCAGAATGTAGACAGGAAGATGCTGGGCTAACAGTCATCCTGGTTCAGAAGCAGTTAGGGGGGAAAGTATCAAAACCTGCAAAAGATATCAACAAACATAAAAAATCCTTGGATAGTTTGTGATCCATAATAATATCCACACATATACATAAGATTTAAGTTGATCTTATGATTTTTTTTCCCCGGGAATAAAACATAGAAATGTATGTAAGACAAAAAAAGCATGTTTCATTGCATCACTAATCCCAAATTAATCTCCCAAATATAGAGATACACTGTACCTCTACAATGTCACCCCTACATATTCTAAATTCATTGAAAACTGGTAACCCAGAATTTAAGTCTGTCATACTAAGTTACACTGTAGATATTTTTTTTATTAATTTTTCATTTAGCACTGTTTAGCGTTTAGTCAATTCAATTGAACCCATTTTGATTAAAACAAGCGGTTGAATTCCAAGTAATTTAAGATTTCCAGAATTATCACATTTTGTGCAACTGATCGTACATGCATTCATAAAAAAAAATCAGTACAAAATTTTCAGTCTCCTTGAATTCCGCTGAGTTTATACATAAGTTTAATTTGTAATTTGTAAGGCTATAATTTTAAATAGTCTGGCTATTTGGGATATTTACATGTATATCTCAACAGGGATATAAAATTAGAGTGCAAACAAGAGGCCCAGGGGCTACATCGCTCGCCTGAGCAATTGGCTAGAAAAAAGCACATATCAGATCAGAACTGAAAGTTACCTGAGGGCGGGGAGGGGGGGGGGGAGGGGGCTTGTAACCCCCCCAGGGGGTCAAGATTTTTTAATTTGATGATTCCCTATAAATATCACCAAGCATGGCTTTGAAGTACTTGAAAAGAAGATTTTAAAAGGTTTCCCTATATATTCCTATTTAAAAACTTTAATGAACAAAGTTTTGAAGATGATTCCACATGAGTTTCATCTTTCCTGTCTCTATGGTTCTTGAGAAGAAGACTTTTCCTATATATTCCCATGTAAAACTTTGATCGGCCATTTTGGCCCCACCCCACCCCCGGGGGTCATGATTTGACAAACTTGAATCTACGCTACCTGATGATGATTCCACATGAGTTTCATCTTTCCTGGCCCAGTGGTTCTTGAGAAGAAGATTTTTAAAAGATTTTTCCTATATATTCCTATGTAAAACTTTGATCGGCCATTTTGGCCCCACCCTACCCCCAGGGGTCATGAATTGAACAAACTTGAATCTACACTACCTGAGGATGATTCCACATGTGTTTCATCTTTCCTGGCCCAGTGGTTCTTGAGAAGAAGATTTTTAAAGATTTTTCCTATATATTCCTCTAGGGGTGGGACGATATACCGATACACCGATACATATCGATATTTTCCTCTAAGATACGGTTTACGATACAAGCATTCAAATATCGGTACGAAACGATACACGAACGACCTATCCAAAATTGAAAATGAAAGTACATGTCCTTGGAAAATGGCGGCTTGTACGAAGCGAAAAGATGATGTTGATTATTGAAAACACACTTTAGAACTAATAAGTCGTTGTTTTGGGGTAAAATGTTTTCACTTTTAAGCAGCCTCGGAAGATTTGACGAAAAAAGTTCAGTATATAATGCGTGCTATACACAGAAAGGATCGTTTCCAGAGCATTTGATATTATTAATTGTTAGTCCATCTCGTATTTTTTTGTAATCTCAGCTTTGCTACAGATTTTCAGCAATTCATAAAAATGTAAATGTGATGTTTTTAAATGAATTATAGTCCGTGTTCTCTGACGAACTACACAACTATTTGTAAACAACTTCTTAAAAGTAATTTGGTAATAATAAATATGTACATGTATTATTGTTTTAGTAAAGTTTTATTGAATGATATTGATGAACTTCAAGTATTAATTTCAAAGCACACATGATTTGAAATAGAATAATTTGTTGATTTAATGTCAAGGCACAAAAAAAAAGAAAAGAAATAAAATACTAATTCTTTTGAATAGTTTTACAATTTATCATCATGATGTTGACTTAATGACAAGACACATATGAAATAAAATACTAATTTTTAAAAATAGTTTTATAATTTATCAAAATATCGAGATACGTATCGTATCGTGCCAATATATCGAGATACGTATCGTATCGCAAGATCTGTGTATCGTCCCACCCCTATATTCCTCTGTAAAACTTTGATCGGTCATTTTGGCCTCACCCTACCCCCAGGGGTCATGATTTGAACAAACTTGAATCTACACTACCTGAGGATGATTCCACATGTGTTTCATCTTTCCTGCCCCAGTGGTTCTTGAGAAGAAGATTTTTAAAGATTTTTCCTATATATTCCTATGTAAAACTTTGATCACCCATTGTGGCCCCACCCTACCCCCAGGGGTCATGATTTGAACAAACTTGAATTTACACTACATGAAGATGCTTCCACATGAGTTTCATCTTTCCTGGCCCAGTGGTTCTTGAGAAGAAGATTTTTAAAGATTTTTCCTATATATTATCGGCCATTTTGGCCCCACCCTACCCCCAGGGGTCATGATTTGAACAAACTTGAATCTACACTACCTGAAGATGATTCCACATGACTTTCATCTTTCCTGGCACAGTGGTTCTTGAGAAGAAGATTTTTAAAGATTTTTCCTATATATTCCTATGTAAAACTTTGATCGGGCATTTTGGCCCCACCCTACCCCAGGGGGTCATGATTTGTACAAACTTGAATCTACACTACCTGAGGATGATTACACATGACTTTCATCTTTCCTGGCCCAGTGGTTCCTGAGAAGAAGATTTTTTAAAAATGCCATTAATTTTTCTCTAATTCATAATTATCCTCCCCTTGGAAAAGGGCGTGGCCCTTCATTTGAACAAACTTGAATCCCCTTTACCCAAGGATACTTTGTAGCAAGTTTGGTTGAAATTGGCCCAGTGGTTCTTGAGAAGAAGATGAAAATGTGAAAAGTTTACGACAACGACGACTACGACGACAAGGACAGACAACGGACAAATTTTGATCAGAAAAGCTCACTTGAGCCTTTGGCTCAGGTGAGCTAAAAATGACATTAATGTTATTTTTAATTTGGAATTTCAAATGCTACTCAACTTTAATCAGTTTTTGATAAGGCTTCAGATTTTGTGACACCCCCCCCCCTCAAGAAGTATTTGGGCAATCTAACAGATATTCTTCATAGTATGAATAATGCCTAAAAGAGTTAGACAACCAAAAATCTTTTTTTACCGAAAGTTGCTGCAATGTATAAATGTTTCATGTGGATCTACATGATATAATAAGACTCTAATATTACTTTTACATGTTGTTTTATACTTTTATTGCATGATAGTGAGGGAAATATGAAGACTTATTCAGCCAAGAAAAATCATATTCCCTGAGGGCTTCGCCCGAGGGGAATATGATATTTCTTGGCTGAATAAGTCTTCATGTTTCCCAAACATTCATGCAATGAATTGTTTATTACACCGAAACAAGCAAAACCTTTGAAATAAACATAAACTTTCAAATTCGGCACCGCTCTCAAATTTTTAACAAAACGTTTAATACTAAAACTCTTTGGTCAACACATTATCATCAATTTTATGGCATAAACCAGGTTATTGTGACGTCTACTATACTCTCGGGAGTTCTCTTTATTCGAACGATAATTTTTGCGGGAAAATGCACTAAGTATCCGAAGAGGTGGAATATGATGAAAAGCATGCCAACGGCCGGAAATATGAAGTTTTACGGCCATATCAAGTGATAAGTTAGAACCAATCAGATAACGCGTTGTTTAGAATATTTATAATGAGGTATAATAATATCTTTTATGCCCCCCCCCCCCAAAAAAAATGGCCAATGTTGCCATTTACATCTTGTTGACACACTATTCTCTTTCGAAATGGACAGGCTTTCACCTCGTCAACGTGGATATAGGCTAAATCCACCAGTCCACTTTGACGCACCTGTGCCCGAGCCTGTGGTCGACGATGGAAAAGTCTGTCCACTTCCCTAAATCACACTCAAGAGAATACTTCAATATTTGACACACGTGCACATTCTTACATAATGCGCAAAGTGTAGATATTTTCTCTTTGTATATTTTAGGTAAAAAGTCAAGAATAGAGCATATTTTTACCCTTCTTCTCTTGAGACTCCACATTCTTCTAGCCAGCTGCCAAGTTAGATCTACTTTCATTTTCCAATTTCGCGGGATTATTTTTTTTTTTTATTCGGAACTGATCGGAATTTTCCTGTAACATTAGATGAACCGAATGAACGCCACAGACCGACTTTCTGTTTTGTCAGGGCACGTTACAAAAAGCACACAGTCCTTATCCAGGAGCATTGGTGTAAATATTTTAGTATATCTATGAATTTGTTTTATACTTTTCCTAATGTACATGAGGGCTCACTTTAAAACAGAAGAAGTCAATACCAGAACGACACTTTTCGAATTTCCTCAGTTGATTTTTTATCGTGTGTTAATCTTAAATGACATGTGGATTTAATACTTAATAATTTCCTTCGACAAACCATGTCAATCATATTATCCAAATACATGAGTATGTAATGAAAAGTTGAAACATTACCAATTTGGTGTATGTAAAAATTTGTAATTCCTTATTTCTTCATTTAAATTGCTTTACAAGAGTTTTATCGGACCAAACATTTGAAAATTTTAACTTGTTTAAACATTAGAAACTATTAAAATTCTTAAATTGTGTCATGGCAAGGAACATATCGTTTTTATGAAACTAAAACCAAGAGAAACATACTCTTCCAAAGTCATAGAATTATGGCTAACTATGGGAAATTCTGCAATATGTATATTAGAGTTATCTTTCTTCCTTCATAGGAGCAACAAACTAAGTATCTAACTTACCAACTTTTTTTTTTATATTGCATTAAGATTTCACATTAATCTTGATCTTATTTTTCAAAGTTACCAGAATAATTAAGAAATAAAGTATCATTTTAAAACATATATCAGGATGCAGATATACGGAATGGTCACGAGATTAAATTCCGTAAAGCCCGAAAGGCTTTATGATGAATTGATCTTGTACCAACCCATATTTATAGCCCGATAGATGTTTTAAGATGATACCTTATTACTTATATTTACATTTGTGACTTATTCATACTTATTATTTACCTGATTGTGACTTTAAATGTGTGAAGTGCATTATTTTCAAACCCAACAGCATGTATGTATTATGTAATCCACTGAAAGCTCATCGACCCTTTATGACGTCACTGAGAAATTACGTGGAACGTTTATCCATACGCACATCTATGACCTCTTGATCCCATATCGGTATTTATACAGTTATAGATACGCATTGGTTTCAGTAGTATAAAGGAAAACATTTGCAAATGTAAATATTTAGATGTATCATGCTGACTCAGGGGTGATATATATATATAATATGTGACCAATTTGATGAAGGCATCAAAGTAGCTTTCTCATGATATAAAATATATACTAGTAAATTTCTTCTTCTTTAACGTTTTTATAACATCTAGCACTGCACAGTCTTGTATTTTAAAGTAATTCTTTGAGCATGGAATCTACATACTAGTTTAATGTTTAAACATATTTCAGAACTTAATAGGTTTAAAATATTGACTACAATACAAATTATTCATTTAAAGATTTTGTGTGAATGCATGTTTCTGAATATCTGCACTTATAAACTTTTAATGCATATGTGTTGAAAAATTAAAAATCACTGTGCAGTATGATTGTAGTTATAGTGAGATATGCAGAACTGACTGATAGTAAAGTATCTCCCTATAGCTCTGATGAAATAATGCCTTTTTAAAAAATAAATGATCGATAATATACATGTAGACTGACAAGATTTGTTCCTTGGTTTGAGTTTGCTACTTGTAGTATTACTAGTCAGCATGAAACAGAGTTATCCTCTTTAATGGAAATTTTATTCTTCCAGTATGATTTTAATAATACATGTATAACAAAATTTTTCACCATGCTGCAGCAAAATTAATGTTTCTCATGTTCAGATGCATCATTATTTCAAACAATGAGGCAAGTCATAGTGCACTGGGATTCTCAACAAGCTTTTTAAAAATATAATAGGGAAGGTGAAGAAAGGAGATAAAAATACATGTATCAAAAGAGTGCATTTGTTTTGATTTTTTTCTTCCCATAGCTGAGTTTCTTGAAAGCTTTAATTGTACTTTTTTATTTATATTTGTCACATTTAGGCACAAAATAAATCACAATCTCCGTAGGGTCAGTGATGAAGATAATGAATGAAAATTGTTTGTTAATTAGTGTTCAAATGCGTACATTTTGATATATTACTATGTGTGTATATTGTATCCATATACCAGCTGAGTAAAGACTTAATAGCAGTTTATATAGGGGCTCTCTGGTAAAGAAGAGTTCTGAAATAATACTTTCTTCATGATTTTGTATCTGAACTAAATTTTTCTAAGACAAAGCATGCATGGTTGTTTTATCAGATTACCATGAGTGGTGGTACTGTGGTGCCACCCTTAACCACACATGTCCTGGACACTGCAAGAGGTATCCCAGGAGGTGGTATCAACATGGTGTTGATGATCCGGTCCGGTAATGGAGAATTCAGGGAGATAGAGAGAGGGTAAGTTGTTCTGCATCCATTATGCTGTTTCATTTGTACAAATTTTAATGATAAACATAATTAGACAAACTTTTTCATCAGCAACTTCACTTAGTCTAGATACAATTTCTAAAATGAGGCAAGCTCTTGACAAATAAGTTGGTAATACAATCCTTTCAAAGTCAACATTTTAAAAATTTGCTGTTAGTCACAATAGCTTTTGGAGCAAATACAAAATATTGTTTAACTTTAAGTATTGAGAGTAAATTAAATTGAGTATGACTGAATTATAAGTTTTTAGACTGTGATCCTGGTGTTGAACAAAATAAACCCCAGGGCAAAACTGTATTCTTTTTCTATTAATGACAGGACCACAAACAACGATGGACGTGGTGGATTCCTTACTAGTTCATCTTTCCAGGCTGGAGCAGTCTACAAATTATTTTTTGACACAGACAACTACTTCAAAAGCATTGGAGTGAAGGGCTTTTATCCATTTGTAGAGGTAACTGCACTAATTATCAAGATAAAGAATTGGTAAAATTTAAAATGAATTTATAAATAATAATCTTTTATAGCAGTAAAAGAAAGCATGTTTTTAACAATTTTATCTTTAAATCTCAAGGAGGAATACTTTTCAATCCTAAGGAAACAGGGCCTATATCAAACATATGTAATACTTTTATTACCGAATTATCACAAAATTATTTTTCTACAAGCCCTTTGTAATTGTCTAGAAGTTTGACTAGTACTTCTCAATTTTGAAATACCAACAACAGTGTTCTAAAGCTGCATGATTTGTCTGACCAGGTTGTGTTCCGTATTGACGACCCATCCCAGCATTATCATGTACCCCTGTTGCTCAGTCCCTATGGCTACTCCACCTACAGAGGTAGCTGACTAGGAACCGCCCCCACCAGTCGCTGTCAGTCTGTGTATCCAGGGGTATACGATCTGATCCTTATAGTTGTCATTATCATGACCCAAAAGCATTACTAAAAATCTCTCGTATTACACTGTAATTATCGTAATGTTACATTTTCAAAATAACAGATATACTTGTATTGTTTTTGTTTATGATTATATAGATATTTTATATATAATTGTGATTTTTTATGAAATTTTCTAAATATAACATTGTAAAAAGATAATATTGTCTTCATTTTATCTTTTGTTACATGTAGGTTATATGAAAAGGATAAATAAATATAATTTGGACTCTGAATAAATTGATGTTACTTCAAATCAAACTGGTTGAAAAGAATGTTTAAAATTATAGCTACGTCTACTTGATTTTAATTTATGCAGGGGATCAAAATTTATAATGAAAAAAAATATATTTAAAACTGCCATATTCCTAGAAAAATGCTTGACCTTATATTGTGATCCAACCTACCCTTTCCTATCTTTTGGTGATTAAATATGAATATAAGTAAATATTAACAGGTACATGTACTTCTTGGTAAAATAAAAGTACGTAATTCTTTTCAATTTGATCTTTAATATGTAAAAGTTTATTACCCACCACCCTGTTTTGTTCACCTCAGGTGAAAGGCCAAGTGAGCTTTTCTGATCATCCATCCGTCTGTCTGTCATCCCTCCATCTGTGAAGTTTTCATATTTTAAACTACTGGGTCAATTTTCATCGAAATTGTTATAGAGCATCCTTGGGTAATTGGGAGTTTAAAGAAGGAGCCAGGGCCCCGTACATTATCAAGAAGAGACAAAAATAGGGTGGGGTCATTAAAAATCTTATTGTCTGATGTTTTCCTGTGCATTAGGTAATATAATTGTGTGATATTTATAATTATACTGTTAATCATTTGTTTACACAAGTATTCTACCTCCTCCCACGTAAAATGATACCTTTCCTATCAGATTTATTTTATTAAAGGTGGTAAAACACTATTAGCGGAATAAACAAATATATTAAGAGACACAAGCACAATATGCAGGTAAAAGCGGAATAACACATAAATAAGTTAATTAAATTGTTAATTATTTAGTGTTTTTCATTGATATATTTGCTAATTGTTTATTGTCCAATCATTTTCAGTGTGAATGCTGTAAGCATTCTTTATAATATTTAAAATGCTATGAACAGGTATTTATAACTACAAATCATGATAATTTTATTTAAATGAAAACGTTTGAATTGATCTCATTATTAACTGGAACTTTCCAAAAGGGACAAAATACCCCACGCTGGGTTTTTCAGAGGTGCCAAATCATGAATATTTTATGGATCTAAGAGAAGAGAGAAATGCTAAAACATTTTAAGTGCAAATGTAATTGCCCATTATATTTTTTATGAATGAAACGAAGGTGCAGCCTAATAAATAAAAATAAAGAATAAAGATACAGACCAGACACAAAGTATGAACTTTTTCTGTCAGTGACCTTGAACTTTCATAAAAGACCTTGGGTCAAGGTCATGACACAACCTCAGGTCATAAGCAATCTTTGTGTAAATGAGGAACCCTCAAGGTTTATCCATAAGAAAGATATTGACCAAACACAAATTATGAACTTTTTCCTTTCAATGACCTTAAACTTGCACAAATGACCTTGGGTCAAGGTCATGACACACCCTCAAGACATAAGCAATCTTTGTGTAAATAAGGAACCCTCCAAGTTTATCCATAAAAAAGATATGGACCAGGCACAAATTATGAACTTTTTTCTTTCAGTGACCTTAAACTTGCACAAATGACCTTGGGTCAAGGTCATGACACACCCTCAAGACATAAGCAATCTTTGTGTAAAACAGGAACTTACCAAGTTTTCCCTTAAGAAAGATATGTACCGAACATGAAATAGGAACTTTTTCTTTCAGTGACATTGAACTTGCACAGATGACCTTGCATCATGACACACCTTAAGGTCATGGGGGATCTTTGTGTGAAATAGGAACTTACCAAGTTTATCCATAAGCAAGATATGGACCGTACAAGAATTATGAAATTTTTTTTTTTTTTTTTTTTTTTAATGCTTTATTTTTGAATATTTTCATACTTACAAAAGAAACAAAATACACACACAAACACACCCTCACACACCACACGCACTCTGTGCACTTTCCCAAAATACCAGCTTTCATAATTACACCTTAAGTGATAATTGAAATTATGTATGACAAATCAAATCAAACATTGCCCATTTACTTTTCATTTTAGTTCTACAATGAAAATTGCTCTCACAATATTTTTCAATTTTCCCGTAATACTTAAAAATGTTAACAGCTTCTGTAAATTTAGGTATAGTACATTGAGTTCTTGAGTAATACAAATACTTTTTTCCTAACAAGATGAGAAAATTTTCTAAACAACTTCCTTCAATATTACCCAGCATCACCTTTTGTCTTGATACCAATTTTCAAAATCTTTCCAAAAAATAGTTACATGTTTACAATCATAAAAAATGAATCAATGTTTCTGGATCTGTTTTACAGAAAGAACAAAAATTGTTTTCAGCAATTTTTATCTTTTGAAGAGAAGAATTTGTGGCAAGGAAGCCCATAAGAATTCTATATTGAAAGTAAATTATTTTGGTGTCCTTTGTACAAAGAAGCATTCCGAAGGAAAAATTCCCAGTGTTTTTCTGTAATAGGTTCATTTAAATAAATCTCCCATTTTAACTTTTTTGATTCTGGTGCCACAAATTCTTATCTTTTATAATTTTATACAGAAATTTTATACTTGTCACAGATATCATTTTTTGTATAACATATTTCTCTGGTACTGCAAATTGATTGCCTCTTTCTGTCATATAAACAGTTACTTCCCTTTTGACTCTTGCTGGTACTCTTGATACAATGTTAAAATAGTTTAAAAAATTATTAGTACCAACTATTTTTTTAACATCATTAAAACACCTAAATTTTCCATCATCCGACAACAAGTCTTTCAATACTTTAAAACCTTTTTCTACCCAAGTCTTGTAAAAACTCCATTTTTTGATATCAACAAAATTTCTAATATCAGTATATAAATAATCTGTAGCACTCAAACAATCTTTTTTAACAATTATAAGAGCTTTTATAACATCTTTCCAAAAATCATTACCTACATGTATATGATTCAAAAATTCTGAAAGTTTTTCTTTGGTTAAATAAAAAACAAAGTTAAAATCTTTTTGATTAAAAATACAGGATAATAATTGCTGCCATGCTCCACTGTTGTCTGTAAGGACTCTCTTAACCCATTTAAGTTTTACATATGAAATGAAGGAGGATAAATGGATCATGTTTAGTCCACCTTCTTCAATTTTTCCTATCAATGTATTTCTTTTTACTTTTTCCACCTTGTATGCCCAAATAAATTGAAATAAAATTTTATTGATCTCATTAAGTAATTCCTTTGATGGATTTGGAAGAGCTGAGAATAGGTGTACAAATTTTGGAATAACAAGGGTTTTAATGACTGTAATCTTTCCTATTGGGGTCAAATCTCTTTTCGCCCATGATGCAAGCAATTTTTTGATAGAATTTATTTTGGGTCGATAATTGACAGACACAATATTTTCTAAATTTTTTGTGAAAATTATTCCTAAGAGCTTAAAGGTATCAGCACTCCAATTAATTTTTAAGTCATCACATAGAGTTTGTTTTGATCCAGCCTTGCTTCCCAACCATACTGCTTGAGATTTTGAAATATTAAGATTCAAACCTGAAGCATTTCCAAATTTTTCGATTATTTTCATTGATTCTCTCAAAGACTTTTCACTTCCATCTAATGTTAAAAAAGAGTCATCTGCATATTGTCCTAGTTTATTTTCTTTCCCATTAATCGATATACCTTTTATGTTTTCATTATTCTTCAGTGAGATTGCAAGTAGTTCTACAGTAATGATAAAAATGTATGGTGCCAAAGGGTCTCCCTGTCTACATCCACGTTCAAGATTAAAAAAGGAGGATAAGTTTCCATTATTTATCACGCAGCTTGTGCTGGTTGAGTAAAAGGTTTTAAACCATTTAACTAATGAATCTCCAAAATTAAAAGACTTTAATGCTTTAACAATAAAATCCCATTCTAAAGAATCAAAAGCTTTTTCGAAATCTAATAAAAGGAGCAAACCAAATTGTTTTTTATCTTTAAGGTAAATTATTAAGTCATATAAAAACCTGGTGTTTTCACCTATGAAACGCCCTTTTATAAAACCTTTTTGGGTATCACTTATAATACTGGACAACACATTCTTAATGCGATTTGCTATGGTACTAGAACCAATTTTGTAATCTACATTTAACAATGAAATAGGTCTCCAATTTTTCATATATCTTCTATCCTTTTCCTCTTTTGGAATGCATGTAATTACCCCCTGAGATTGAAACTGTGAAAGTTTTCCAGTTATATACCCTTCATTTAAAGATTTCATAACAAAAATACCTATATCTTTCCAGAAAAATTTATAAAATTCCACTGTAAACCCATCTGATCCTGGGGATTTTTTGTTTTTCACACTTTTTAATGATGTTGTGCATTCTTGAAGTTTCAAAAAACCTTCATAGTTGTCACATTGTTCATCAGATAATTTGACATTATGTTGTAAAAAGATATTTTCACACAAAGATGTTTCATTATTATTATTATCCTTTTTACTTTTGTACAAGTTTGAGAAAAAAGACCTTTGTTCATCCAGAATGGCAGACTGGTCTGCAATATGATTACCATCTGAGTCTGTTAATTCAGATATTGTTTTATTTACATAATTTCTTCTTTCTAATTTACAAAAGTATTCAGAATTTTTTTTTCACCCATTTCATACCAAGTAGCTTTTGAGCGTAACATTAAACCCTCTTTATAGTTCGACCTAGAATTTTGTAAAGTTTGTTTTTTTTCTTCAAGTGTCAAAATATCTTCTTCTTTTCCTGAAATATTGACTTTTTCTTCCAAATCTAAGATTTCTTTTTCTAATTTTTTTCCTCTCTAGTTTTTGCTTTTTGGACCTTATGGAAGAATATTCTATTGTTAAGGATCTGATTTTCATTTTCAAGACTTCCCAGAAAAATTGATTACTTATACTAAATTGAATACTCTCCCTTTGCTCAATATCTCCTGATATCATATATTCTTTAATTGTTTCCGAAATACATTGCTTTACTTTTTCTATAAACTCCTTTTCATGTAATAATTGACAATTAAATTTCCAGTAACCTATTCCTCTATTACTGTCATTTGTTTTGAATTTTAATACAATTGCTGAATGATCTGTTCTATACCCTGGGATTATTTTGGTATCTAATACTCTACTAAAAATACAATCAGAAACAAGAAAATAATCAATTCTACTTTGAATAACTGGATTTGATCTTCTCCATGTGTACTGCCTAACTTCTTCATTCCAGATTCTCCATGGATCATAAATTTCAAGTTCGCTTTTTATATTCTTTATTACTTCATTGGCCTTTGGATTATTAAGATTTTTAACATTGAAAGTGTCAAGTTCTTTATTTTGGACCACATTCCAATCCCCACACATGAGGATTGACATGTTTTCTAATTTTGTAATTTCTTCATAAATATTTTGAAAAAATTCTGGATTATCATTATTTGGACCATACAAATTTACCAAAGTAAATCTCAAATTATTTGCTGAAATATCCATTATGATATATCTACCAGAAGAGTCACATTTAACTGAATGCATATCTAATTCAAAGTTATTTTTGAAAAGAATTGCGACTCCAGCTGAGCTGCTTGTATAACTACTGAAATAGGATTTGTAACCCCACTCTGATTCCCATAACCTTGAAGTCTCATGAGTACTATGTGTTTCTTGAAAACAAACAATAGAGATATTTTTACTTCTAACCCAATTAAACACATCTCTACGTTTTTGGCTGTTAGAAGAGAAACCTCTTACATTCATACTCAATATACCTAACATTTCTACTTTGTTGGTCATTTTAGTTGTCACATCAAATGTCATGAAAATTTTTCATTCTTATTACACAGAACATAAGAGAAGGTGCACTAAAGCTCAAAAACAAATACACACTCTACACATACTTACATTCACAAAAGTCAACCATTCAATAGGCATACCTCGCCTTGAAGTCAATGTCCCACCTGTATCGGCTCCTCCTGCTAGTTTTACTTATTGTAGACAATTAAACATTTCAATTTTTAGTGAAAAAAAAATTAAGCTCTAAATATTTTGTCAATATTGTCCGTAACATCAATTCTGTGTCGCTCTACTTTCATATCCAGCGCAAATATGTGGCACTGAAATACCAGGCACTGTCAACAAGATGTTGTCTGTTCTCTGCTTTTAAGGCTCTCAAGAGTTGCGCATTCATACTGGTAATATGGTAATATGAAATTTTTCTTTGTGACCTTGAACGTAAATGACCTTGGGTCAAGGTCATAACACACCCTCAGGTCATAATCCATCTTTGTGTGAAGTAGTAGATTCGTAGTAGATTCGTAGTAGATTCAAGTTTTTCCATAATAAAGATATGTACCAAACATGAATTATAAAATTTTTCTTTCAGTGACCTTGAACTTGCACAGATGATGTCAAGGTCAAGACACACCCTTAGGTCATGAGGAATCTTTGTGTGAAATAGGGACTTACCAAGTTTATCCATAAGAAAGATATGGACCAGACACAAATTATGAAACTTTTCTTCTAATGACCTCGAACTTCCCCAAATGACCTTGGGTCAAGGTCATGACACACCCTTAGGTTATGAGCAATCTTCAGTCTTTGTGTGAAGTAGTAGAATCTAATGTTCCTCCGTAAGAAAGAAATGGACTGGACACGTTTGCACAGACAGACAGACAGCTAGACGGACGGACAGACAAGCTGATTCCTATATACTGTACCCCCCAAAGTTCGTTTGCGGGGGTATAATAATATCATATTAATAAAATATTGATAAAATAAAGTGAAACAACTCAAAATACAATAGTCATTCGTATCACAATAAGATTGTGTTCTCGGTATTCCCTTCGCTTCCCTGTTCATCGGCAGAAGTCAGACACCTGAAAAAAAAAACATTTTGTACGAGTAAAATCAAATTAAATGGAGTATAAACTAAAATAACCAAAATCAGAATGAGAAAAGTCGTTCTTTATCTGGTAAAGGAGACCAAATTAAACAAAAATCTTTTGTCTGCCCAACTGCGTCCCTAACTCAGCAAACTTAATAAAATGTACAAAAATCTTCTTTATTACTCCTGAAAAAGTGCAAATATAGCAAAGTGTTGGCATGGTATGTAAGCAATCGACTTTTTCCTAGAATGCTAAAAATCTTCGCCCCTTACATCAGGATTCAAGCTCTAGTACAGAGCTAACGTTGTCACACATTAGCTTTTTATTTGTCAATTAATTATCAAATTTTCAAAATTCTTTATTTTTCATAGAAATTCAGCTGGCAAACAGTTTCATTGATTATAATCAACATTTTTAACATTTTCCCCTCTAGCAGAATTGTGAAAATTGTGGCACCCACGTCAATACTTCAGACCCTAGAGTAGGACTACATGTAACTTGTCATATTTCAATAAGCCTTTGAAATCTTCCTTTTTATAAAGTGGCAGACTGGTTACATGGCTACAATATTTTCTAAATAAGATTTTATTCCCGTACAAGAATGGTAAAATTCATGTCTCCAGATCATCTTCGCCGGCCAAGGGTTTCTGATGCGATACTCTCCTCATAATCATGAGGAGAGTAGCGTATCAGAAACCCTTGGCTAGCGAAGATGGTCTCCAGGTGGGCTTTTTCATACATTTGTAGTGACTGCTCTAGGTCTCTAAACGAAGGCCTCTCATCTGCACAGTCCAACCAACACATCTGCATGATCTGCCATCTATAAAATTGTGAAAGTAATTTAGAACCAGGCTTATGCTATTTTAGTACACTTCTCAAGTACAGTGAAGATAATTGTTCGATTAACATGAAGTTTTTGTTCATAACTTGTTAAATGTTCATTTATTTTGAACCTCTTACACATCGTTAGAACATTTCGTAGGTTTATCCAGTTTTCCTCCCTGAATGATGTGATTCATCACAACGTCAATCGTGAAATCGCCGTAAGGCAACTGAGCTCCCGTGTAAATCTCCCACATAAGCACCCCGAAAGCCCTAAAATGTGTCAAGCAGAAATCTTACGAATCGTTCTTAGGGGTTTTTTTCAACAACTGACATGTGTATGAATATTGCCTCTCTTCTTTTGTTTTTGAAATAATTTACTTTTCTAGTGGTATAACGTTGCTTGATCAAAATACTACATGTGGTATACTGTTTTAAACTGAAGCAAATTATTTGCACTGTTGTTTTTATTCATTTTTGTTTTTAAAACAGTTGTACCATATATCTGTTTTGGAACTAAAACGCCCATTAAGCATTGACTCTGGTGACATCCAACGCACAGGCACTTTGCAAGTCCCTTCCTTAACATAATATTGTGTCCTAAAGAAAAAAACCCAAATAAATTGTTTGAAATTATTGATTTAAAGAAATTACAATTATACAATATGAGAATAAGAGCATTGAAGCTCAAAAGCTTATTGGAACTACACAAACTGGGAGTAAATCAAACGCGGACGTGTCATTGTTTAGCAAGCATCTCATGATCTGGTCAACCCCACATGTGCTCATGTATCAAATTAACAGAGAGACATAAACTCCATATGCATGAAGACAACATCTAGGTGATATTGGTTTGTTACTACACAACTTAAGGAAGGTAAAGACAGAAAAGTTGGTCATTAAGTTTATCATAAAAGTTTTGTATATAGGATTGTCATTACTTTTGTATAATATTCAGTATCCAAATATTTCCATTTCTATGTCTTCTCTGTGTAATTTTTTTGGAAGTTTTGGAGAGTTGATTTCTTGATAATTCTACCGGAATGTAAATTTCACCAAGAGAAAGTTCAGGAGCTTAAAAGGCAAGATATGCATATATATATATATATATATATATATATATATATATATATATATATATATATATATATATATATATATATATATATATATAGATAGATCTCTTGCGTCTGTCTTTGTGTCTGACGTCATGCAGTGGGCGGGGACTATTGAAAGTGACATGGGAGGCCACAAAATTTTTTAATGTATTAGAAAACTTTTTTAAATCTATATTTACATTTTATACTACAGTGAAATGGAAATATAAGGAATCATTGTCTAGTTTGTTGGGTTCCCAACTATCGTAGATGCCCTGGCATTCGCAACAAAATAGAAAGTGTTTCCTTAAATAAAAAACAGACGATTCAGACCCCGGTGGGTCTATTATTTCGTGTTCAAAGAGAAACATTGAATCAGCATAAAAATCAACATGAATATTGTTAATTGATAAAACGTCGTTGATGTCCTCTAAATGTCGAATTGATAATCTTAACAAGAGACTTCTTTTAAAGCAGAAGTTTACTTTAAAATCTGCATCTGACATATGTATACAAAAATAGGACTGCTAATAACGGGTCATGAAATTATAACATACATGTATTGTTAGAAGACTTTATCTAAAAACTAGAAGTACTGTGAGCAATGAGCTTACTAAATGAAACCCTCCGCTTCCCATATGGTTACAATGACAAAGTCTATGTTTTGCTCTGGGATACCCTAAATAAGTGTCAGATCAAAAAGTAAAATAGGAGGTGCACAATGATATTACATATATGGTTAATACATGCAATCTTTATATGCTTATTTCTTCAAAGATACCTTGTACATTAACATGTAAAGATACTAAATTAAAGAAAGTCACTGTCCTATTTCGATGAAAAATTCTTTGAATCAAATTAAGATTCTTACATGGTGACATCCCTTGCCATTCCAAAATCAGCTATTTTCACAACTACCTGGCTTTCATGTCGTGATATTAAGCAGTTCCTTGCAGCTATGTCTCTTCAAAACAAAGTGATTAATATTGAAATGAATTCAAATTTGTTACATCGTAGCACTATATATAAAGAGTTTTTTTGTTGCATTCGTTACCTGTGGATGAATTTGATTTCCTCCAGATAAACGCATGCTCGACAAACATCGATTGCGAGCTTCAGGGAATGTGTTTGCGAAAATATGGTAGCAATTGGAACCTAAAAGAAATGTCTATTAAACGTTTTTTTTCCTTCCGTTTTTATGTAAGTCATACATTACACATTTAGATAATATCTTACACCCATGACTCTGTGTTTACGAAGATGCGTTTTTAAATCTTCATCCATTAGTTCCAGCAAAATAAAGATACGTTGTTGGCTTGTTGATATACCAAAGCATCGCACGATGTTCGAATGTCTAAGTTTACTGCAATGAAAAACCTGTTCTTTCTAAATCTGGTTTAAAATTGTAATTTAAACGAAGAATATCACGAAATTGATTTATATTTCATTTCACAACTCAAAAGTATATTTTCCTTCTTATCGGGCCTAAAAGATGAGGTAGCAATTTTTAATGACAAGAATAGTATAAAAATTCACCAATAATTACATGTAACGTTAAGAACTTGGTAGATGTGGAAATTGATTTATGTTTTTAAAACAGTTATACCATATATCTGTTTTGGAACTAAAACGCCCATTAAGCATTGACTCTGGTGACATCCAACGCACCGGCACTTTGCAAGTCCCTTCCTTAACATAATATTGTAGAAATTGTTGATTTTGCATCAGATATACATCAGTAAGTATCTGAAATGTCAGACACTTTTTTCTTGTGATTGAGACTGTACTCCTCAAATTTGTCAAACATGAGCAATATCTCGGCTTCCCTGCCCATGATCTGAGTAGATCTGCACATCAATCTTTATATACCTTTATATGTTACTATAGTTCTGCTGTGCAGAGGGTGTTTTCTTACCATAATGTTATAGCTTCTAAAAGAAAATCCATTTTCTCCACTGCTGTCGAATAGGGTTTCAATTCCTGTAAGATTACAGTTTCTTTTTTAAATAACAAGAACGCAGAATATGGTTGCATTTTGTTAAAAACTATAACCACCGTTTACCTTAAGAGCAACTGGGGTTGATGTGGAGAGTATTTTGCCTCTCCTGACAATCCCAAAATGTCCATTGCCAATTTCCCTGCAAACAGTAAAATGATTTTCATTGAATGATATTTACTCGAATGAAATTTATCCTTGTAAACATAAAGGTTGCAAAAAGGTTGTACTTGTATTATATATGGCGCCCATTCTAAACCATTTAAAATAAAAGAAAAATGAAGACATTAAAATATCTTTAAATTAACTAATGAGTGTAGTATTTAAAGGTTTTCATACAGATGTTATTATAAATAGTACATGTTGTACTTTTATGAATACCATCATGATAATATTGACACTATTCTGACTTCAAAAAATAAAAAGTTTATATCAAATCTCGTCTTTGAGAGTATGATGAAAAATACTCATATGTGCATAATTTATCTTTGGCAGGCTCTATCCAACAACATCAACTGACTTATAACAAATTAGCCATGGCCCAGTAAATGTAGATCATCAGCTTATGTAGCAGTTCACTTACTCAAACATTTTTAAATCTTTAAAATGAAAATTGTTGATTCGCCCAGTGATGCATGACGATTGGTACCACGAATAGTTTGGGTTAGACTTGCAAATATTATCCTCTACAAGCCCTGTCCCGGATATGGCGTCACAAATAGCACTTGTTTTCACTTCGATTGTTCTTTTTCTAAGATTTCTTGAAAGCTTGAAAACTACCCCTAATTTCAAAATAAAATGAACCAGCAAATTCCTGCAAATTTCAGAAAATCAATTTTTTTCCTTTAATTTTTTTTTGAAATTCTTATTTGATTACTTGCAGATAAACTTATATCTGGGTTGAGTAATACAAATACATACCAAATATTAATGCTGATCCCAACGCAACAATGGTTATAATCAATGCAGTATCATTAAATATTACTTTATAGGAGTTCTTGTTACTTAAAATAGGTATTCTGGTGTCTTCGTTTGGACTTCCTGGAAGAAATTTGACCACACTGTTATTGATCATAATTTGTTTTTTACTTCAACATAAGCCAGTATATACATGATATGACACAACATCCCTGTCTCTAAAAGTGTGCTTTATACCTTTCGTTGATTTGTTCATCATATTTGATAGATCACCAGTAGCCAGATTCCCTGTGATAATTCTCTCTATATCTTTTTCAGTCACCAAGACTGAAACAAAAAGTTTGCCAACTTCAATGTATACCATCTTTATTATTTAATATCAAGGACCCCCTTTATATGAATTATATTACAGATTAAGACGTTAATATGATGAATTCATTTACCCCTGAAGCATCCTGGTGACATTGAGACACCTTTAAATTGGATCTCGTCGAATAGTTCTATATCCAACCATATAACAACTTTCAAATAATATCTGGAATTGGAATGTGATATTATTCTAATTTTAAGTAAATACTTTTGTTATTTATATTTTTAGAAGTGTGAATTGTATTTTTTCATACAGATGCATACTTTATTATTTTGTCATCCAGGAGAGGAAAAGAAAATGTTATTGTTTGTTGTTCTGTAGTTCTAAGTTTATCCTCTTGTGTCTGGCTTCTCTCCTTGCCTATCAATTCTAATGAAACAGTTATTTCTCTCCTGTGGGCCAGTGCAGTGACATTGAATGCCACCTGAAATATTAACAAAGCGATTTCAGTAACGGAAACATTCACAGCACTCATAATTAATTTAAATGTAATACTGATAAAGCTTAATTGTCGGGTACTCACTGTGCAGATGTCATCATTAGATGTAACAGACAACCTTTTAAATTCTGTGGTTGTGAAATATGGATTCCTACAATATTTATTTTCATCGGTTCCATAGAGACTGAAACCTTTAATTAAAAAAAACATGCATTATTTTGTAGATAGTTAACGGTTATCTCTGTTTATCATTGAAGTGATTACAAGAAAAATCCATATTTTCACAAAATACATTTAACTGTTTTACAGGCTTTTTGAGGGAGAATCAGATATTAGAGATGAAAGGACAATGTAAAGAAACATAGGCGTCGGAACCGGGGGGGGGGGGGTAGGGGGACTAGAGTTTACCTTTTTTGGTTGGTTTACACCCCCCCCCCCCTACACACACACACTTTCAATTTGCTTCCGATGCCTATGAGAAATAAACAATTAAACAATTTACGGGGATGATGGGCTAATCAAAATCATTGCATTCTTTAGCATAAATACATGTACATGTTTTCTTATATACAAAAAAATTGGGCACGGTTATTTCTGCTAAACTCGTACAGTTTTTCTGGGGATTATATTGCAATAGATGAGAATTTTTGCACCGAGTTCACTGGCCAGTCAATTTAAATCTAAAGGAAAGGAAGCGTGCAAAACTTTTCTAAAAATTTTTTATTTATTTTATATTATTTGTACGTTAAATCTAGGAGGAATTATTGTTGCAAAATAAACATATTTTTAATTTAGAGTTATATATACATTTTATTTTTTCTTAATATCTTTCAAAGATTACCACTTTTGTCTCTTGAAAAAGGGCATTTGATATATCCCGTGTCCGCAAATAACCCGAGACAGGCAAAGGCATTTGATAAAGCACACACAAATCCCCTTGTGTCGAAACCTATTGAAAGAAAGTGAAAAGTGAATTTATTAATCAATAATGATGAAATGTAGGCATATATGATAATCATTTCATTAAATGTATGTCTGTTTCAAATGTGAAATGTGTTATGAACAGGAAAAATTTCAGTGAATACATTATCATGAAATAAAAAATATCAATGTTTGCTCAAAATAACCATTTGATCATGACAGATCATGACTAAATTTTGATTTAAATTTCCAAATTGTTCATAGAAGTGTATAAGAGAAAAATAAAAAAAAGTCCCTTACTTTCAAATTGGATAAAAATACGACCCAGGTTTTCCGAAACACATTTACTGTTGTTGAATTCCAGTGAAACAAATTCTTTTTCAAAAAGGATAACATCCATTTTAAGCCTTTTAATGCAATCCCGTGATGATGAAGATTTTGGACATCCATTGAATGTATTGAAGAAAATATCATATCAAAAAAAAAGTTTTGATAACTGTAAATGTGCAAAATCTTCCAAATTTTCCAAATTTGTGTTATTTTTTTCCACAATTTAAATTGAAACAAGAGTTTTTTTTTAAAAATAAAACTCTGTTCATTGAAAACATAATAACAAGACAATAAAAAATAGGGAAAAATACCGTGTATGTTGCACAAATATAATACTAGTATCATTCGTATACATCTCATCACAGTTCTGCTGGTTCGCTATGTTGTTTGAAATTGTCTTTTCATGATTCAATTCCCATATTAAACACTCAGTACGGCTTGCGCCGTCGAAAGTAATGTCTCGTATAATTCCATTCTGAAAACACTTTGACAAGATAAAAACGTTAGACTGTCCCCTGATAAATCGCCAAGTGGACAAAGTAACAAACAACAAGATCGAATTCATTGCTCATTTGTATTTTCAATTGCAGATGCAACTTTGCGAAATAAAAATGAAGACTATTTAAACAGAAATAATGCATTAATTATTAAAACATTTTTTCCCCAATCGCCTACAGAAATGTATCATACTTTAAGGTTGGGCAATGTTTGCACGTATACTGAAATTTACGCAGTTTTAGTCCCATCAATGATTTTGTTTTTAAAGGCATTGAGAATTTCGTATCTTACAGGTTTTTTTTTTAAAAAAAAGGAAGACAAAGATCATATAAGTCACTGTCAAAAAGTTTTTTATCTGCAAAACTAAGTTTAGCTTTGTTTTGAACATATTTTTGTTTTACCTTTAAAAATCTGTACCTATAAAAATCTATACGGAAAAAGTCCAACATTTTTAAAGCCATATATGCCCCATTTGAGTTAAAAAAAATAAAATTACGAGTCTCAGATTAAGTCTAGATTTACAGGATATTTTTGCTATTTACGTTTATATTAAAATTTTCACCGATTTGGAACTTGAATATATCCACGTTTCTGTAGTAAAAGTGTTTAAACTGTGCCTGATATTTTTTGTCGAATCGGGAAAAAATCGAATCTTCTTTTAAATTTCGGATATCTATGAAACGCGATTGATTTAAATTGTGTAATTTAAAGGAAAGTCCTATGTTTTTATAAAATAACATAAAAAATAGATAGATCTTTTTTGTTACGTTAGACTGAACTTATCAAAAATACGCCATATATGACGTTAATGTTTTACTGAGCGGACATAAAATATTGGATGTTTGACCGATGAATGAGATGTTGGACTGCTAACGTCACACAATGGGCGGAACTGAATCTCATTAGCATCCATGGATGTTCAACTGTGGTTACATGATTACATCACGGATTGATTGTATGTTGTTTAACGTCACTCTCGAGAATTTCACTCAAATGGAGACGCCACCGCTTGATGATGGAGAACCGCAAATTTTGTCCTGTACTCGGCACTCACAAACTAATTAAAATTAGATGTTAGACCCGCTCGCATATTCGCTACACTTAGTGTAGCGAGTAAACGAGCGATCTAATATTTAATTTTAATTAGATTGCGGCACTGAGGGCAATTGAGCAGGGAGATATCTGTTTCGTGCTAGCATCTGCGACACGGGACCTCGGTCTATACGGTCTCCTCCAAAGGACCGGTCTCCATGTCCCACAGTGGGATTCGAACCCGCGACGTAAGAATCAACCCCTTACTTCGCGACTCTAGAGTATATGCTCTAACCTCTGCGTCACAAAAGGCGACTACATCACGGAAGACAGTATATTTATGTCATATAAATATTAAAATAAAAGGTGTAGGAATTTATTGACTGTGTTCTCGGGCAAAATGCATTTAGTCGACCCTAGAATCAAACTGTCCGCCTACGGCCTCAGGCAACAATTTGGTTTATGAGTGCGTCCGACAAACCGCATGTAAGTTGCCCTTGGACTCAGGCAATATATGTATGATAATGCATACATTTACCAATACTAGTACAAAAGAGTTTGATACTTTTTTGCATTAGTAACAATTAAAATAATGACTGTCAAATATATAAATTACAAATATTATTGAAATGAAAAGGATGAAATAAAAACGAAAAGGGATCAAACTCAAAACATTGATAAAAAATACTTAACTTTGAAGAGCGTAATAAACACAAACCCCAGGCTTGTAAATGCTGATGTTAGGGACAGGTGTTTAGCGGAGGAGTAAGCAGCTTCTGCCGACTGGTCACACCTGCCGTGCTTCTTCTTTACTGATCATTTCGATCTAACATTTCATAATCAAATTTAGTTTAAAAACAAGAGCCTAAAATTTGATAAAAATACATGTATGTGAGCAAAAAAATTATAGATTATATTAAATATAAATTTACTTTCATGACTATTATTACGACCATGTATACGACAATAGATTTACAATAATTTTCTGACTTTAAACGAGGTTGCTGACATCCCTGTAACATCAACTTATGTGCATGTATCGGTCTAAAGGCCGGTATACACGATGAGATTTGTAGTATAATACAAGTATTATAATACTTTTGTATTATAATACTTTCTTGTACACACGCTAATACATATCTTATAAGATTGTATATAAACTATTATTCCCACGTGTTTTCACCTGCCATATTTCTCTCTCTGTCAAAATAATAAAAACGATAATAATAAGCTCTGCTTCTAGCATCGTTTTTGTGGTAGCTACAGCTTGATATATTCCACAAGTCCTCTTCCCCTTCCCATAAAACCACGAGTTTTTCGATATCTTTACTCGAAAAGTCGGCTATTATTATATACCATGTGCTTTATTTAGTAATGATATAAATAGGATGACCCCCAATGTGAGTACATTTGATTGGTTGAAAGTGAAAGGTGAGTTAAGACTTGTATTAGGAAATAGAGCATTGCTCTATTCTTAATACAGTCTTATAAGATTCGAAAAATCTTACGATACATTGTATTAAGAGTGTATACACAGTAAGATTTTGTATTATAATACAAATCTTATAATACAAATCTTACCGTGTATACCGGCCTTAAAACGTAATCTTACTGAGAGCAGTAGATAAATTGGGAGGAATTAACACGATATGCAGGTAACAGTGGGATTGTAATTAATATGAGTGGGCAGTTAACAAAGGAATTTACTATAGAACACTGAAAGAAAGCTGGCATTGAAAAATCTGGAAACATCTCGTTTGTCATAAGATGGTGTTGTAGTTTGCCTTTGTTATCTATTAGTAATTAGTCAGTTAATTGCTTTATTATCAATGTACTGATTTTCTCTTAATTTCTTTTAATGGATCTTGAATGATTTACTGTATTCAGGAGGCCGCAGCCATACAAAAGAATACGATTATGTATGTTACAAAACTATGTTTTGTAATAAAATAACATATAATGAAATATATATGCGCATTGTACATGTACACTCATACAAGTATTATGTAACATTAAAACATTCATCTAATACTTTCTGTCGTTAGAAAGGATTCTTCATTTGAGACAAAGTCCGACACAAAAAAAATGACCAGGGAATGTTAAAATTGTGTAATATGAATTCATCACGGTGAATTTAGTAACAACAAAACTTCTATTGATCTTCAATTAATGATTTATTATTCTATTCTATGTGAACATTGCATGGAAAAGAAATCGATCTTTTTCAGAACCATTTGTTAAAAATTAAATTATATTGATGTTATCAGGAAAAATTTATCAATTTCCTAACACAGAAACAGGAGGACATTTGGATTAAAATGTCAATACTGAATTATTTAATAATCTGGAAATGTAGTCGGAACATGTTATTGAGCGTTGAAAAAACGTTTACTTAACACCGTTTGCAGGTGATTGTGGCTAAATATTTAAGGACGTTGGTTTCCGTTATCAAAGTACTGAGAATTTTTTGTCAGATATAATCTTACAATCTAAACTCATACCATAATAAAAAAATCAAAACAAACAAGATGTGTGTGTTTGTGAAACACTATGCGCCCAGCGGCAACAAAGTTCGAAAAAGCTATTTTTGCATATATGTCACAGTCAAGGTCACAAGGTCATTGATCTTGGTGTCATTTGAAAGAACCTAATTAGTAGACTATGCATACTTTATATGAAGTCTCTATTTCTTATGCTTTAAAAGTTATGACAAGGGTTCAAAAAGGCTATTTTTACCATATCTAGGTTACATGCAGTCAAGGTCACAGTCATTGACCATGAAGCCATTTAAAGAACTTATTTAGTGGAGTTTGCATACCAGATATGCAGTCTCTTTCTCTCATGGTTTAAAAGTTTGTATTGTGAAGGTTCGAAAAAGTGATTTTTATCATATAGGTCAGAGACAAGCTAACAAGGTAATTGACTTTTGTGTCATTTGATAGAGCTTAATGAGTAGAATATGCATACGTAATATCTATCTTTCATGGTTCAAAAGTAATGTCGAAGCAAAAAACCTTTTATTAGCATACATGCATATGCCACAGTCAAGGTTACAAGGTCGTTGACCTTGGTGTCATTTGAAAGAATTTAATTAGTAGAATATGTACAGAAAATATCAAAATTCTATCTTTCATGGTTTACACATAATGGTGTTTCTTTTAGCATATATGTCAAAGTCAAGGTCAGTGTCGAAGGTCTATAGGAATGGCGAAAGTTAAATTTGACAGACAAACAGACAGGACAAAAACAATTATGCAATCCCGATCTGTCGATAAAAATGGGGTCAGTGTGCTTGTTTTAGCACTACTGAGCAATAAATAGGACCTTTTTGCACTGTAATTACGTCTATCACAAATCATTTTTTCAAAGTTTTCTTTAAACATTTTTTATCCAAATGAATTATTGGATCAAACACAGTCTTTTTTATCTTAATTAGTTACATTAAAAATTGTGACAACAATAATAGTTTCAAATTACATGTACACGTCGTATAGTCAATTACATGTATTTGAGCTTTCTGCACTCATAAAAAGTCCTTTTTCTGGTGTTAAAAAATAATTCTAAAAAATGAATATAATTATTTGAAATTAATGACATTTTTCTAAAATTAATTAGAGTGGTTAAAATTATCTGATATATTCAGATAATGAAATAAACAGTAAGGGTCTGTAATGTGAATTTTTAGCTCACCTCAACGAAGTTGGGGGAGCTTATGTAATACCCTCGGCGTCGGTGTCGGCGTCGGCGTCCCAGGTTAAGGTTAAGTTTTTTGGAGCAGTTTTCTTTTTAATTTCTCTATGTCCTATATTGATTAGACATGCATGGAAGATGCTTTAAGGACGTTCGATCCTGATATTTTGAGCGTATTTCGCGCAGGTCCTTTATTCATAAAATTAAGCATCATTTTAGGTTCTAACAATAAAACTGAATTTTACAATGCAAATTAAACTATGTTCAATGAAAAAATCGCGATTAAATTCCATTCAAGGAGAATTAAGCTAGGGACTATATTTTGTGGCGGAAGGTTTTG